TAGAAAAATTAAAATTTTTATCTTTTAGAAAATGTCTAGCGATTTCGCTATCTATATTCGAGACAAGCTTTTCGACTCTAAAACTTCTGTCGACCATAAAATCTTACATAGTGTAAACAAGAAAGGTGAATTTGTTCTAAAGTTCTGTTTCTGGGAATATGACAAGAACCATAAAACATTACAAAGAGCAGTCTTAAAATTTGTCAATGACAGACTTGTTGACAGAGATGACGCCGATTGGAAAGATGAAGTCCAACAAAAGTTCTTAGAATGCAAAGAAGGCACATGCGCTGTTTCTTGAAGATGAAATAGAAAACAGAATAGATGAGCTATTAAAGGACAAAGAACTTTTACATAAATATGGTTCTGAGAAATTTGACATAACTCCACCAGAAAAGAAGAAGAGAGAAAGAAAGAAAAGAAAGAAAAGAAAGTAGAAGAAGAGAAGAAAGAACCTGAACCAGTTCCAGAGAAAAAGAAATTTGACATGTAAAAATAAAATTTTATTTTTAGAACATTTCTGGGTCAATGTCAATGTTCTCTTCCTCTTTAGGAGTAAACACTGGCTTAGACTCTAAAATCTTTTTACCCAATTTACCTTGAACTTCAACTATCTTAGACTCATAATATTCATAGTCGTCTGCTTTCTTTGGTTCATAAGGTATAACAAGTTTGTATGCTTTGCCTTCTTTAAGGTTTGAAAACCTTCTGTCAAAACTTTCTTTGACTGCTAACAAACCTTCTATGTCTAAGTCTTCAAATTTCGCACCATTTTTAGTCACAATAGCAAACTTAACTGGTTCGATGTTCCAAACTTTGCTGAATGAAGACTTTTCAAAATGGTAGAAGTAAACATTCAAATAAGCGAATGGGTCTAGTTCTTCTTTAAGTCCTGACATGTACTTGTTGACTGAGATGAATTTTGCCATCTTTTCTATCGGATAAAAAAATATTTTTTTTAAAATTTACTCAGAAAAATTTTTCTTTGTATATACGCCATTCTGTACGTCTAAAAGATTTTTGACATTTGCCAAGAATGTACGTTTAGACGCTGTCATATAACCATATTCTTGACAATATTGTTTATACGAATCGTACAATGACCTTTCATCTAATGACACAAAGTCAGTTTCATCTATGAACAGTTCATATACACTCTTGTTTGCTTCTAACAATGTTTGTCTCTCTTCGGTATGTGGAATTTGTCTTGGATTGAACTTTGAAATATCTAATGTCATGAAATATGAGAACAAGTGGTTGTAAAAGTCAGATGTCAAAGTTTCTGCTAAGTCGTCAAAATATTCTGTATCTTGCATATGAGAATCTGACGTTCTGACAACTACATATCTTCTGTCAGAAACTTTCTAACTTCATCGGAACAGCATTGTTTGAAACCATAATGAAGTTTGCAACATTTTCACAAACTCTTTGGTCTTTATATTTTCTTTCAACAACTCCAACTTTGTCTGTTATAAGACTCTTCAAAGCATCCGAGTTCAAAACTTTTGTTGTATCTATACTTTGAAGTTTCGTTACATACTATAAGTTTCATATTCTCTATTGAAGAGTTAAATTTACCGCAGATGTTTTCTAAGTTTGTCATATTCGGGTTCGAATAGCCCTCTAACAGTTTGCATAAGATATCTGTAAAGAAAGTGTTCTTACCTGTTCCTTGTTTTCCAATTATGATGAGAGCAGTTTCATTTTTAGCACTTGGATGTTGTAAGATGTTTGCAAACCAACATAAGATATACTCATAGACTCTTTCGTTTCCATTGCATATAATTTCTTTGACATGGTCTAACCAAGCTTCTATACATTTTCTTTCCATTCTACTTGTTCGTATTTATATCCAGTGAAGATAGAATAGAAGTTTGGAGATGGTGTATAGAACTTTATACCACGAACTGAAAAATCTTCTAACTTTGACAATAAGATATCCCAAGCATCTAACATCTTCATGCCAACTTGTACGACTTTTATTTTCTTAAGTTTCTGTCTACATTCTTGTTCTGAACTATGGTTGCTCTTGGTTTGTTAAAGACAACATCCCATTCTTCATAACATAACATTCTGGGCAGAGTCAACATAAATGACTAAACGTTTCAAATTCTCGACTGCTTTGTTATAGTCTCTAAATGGACACATATTTCTGAACGCTTGGAAGTCATAAAAATCTGAAACGTCTATTCTGTACATTTTTATAAAAATAAAAAAAAATATTTTTTTTATTCTTGACTTTGTTGTTCTTGAGCTATTTGTTGCATTTGTTGTTCTTGAGCTATTTGTTGTTGAAGTTGTTCTTGTAATACAATACTTTCACCAGTTGCATCTTCCAATTCGAAACTTTCTGCCGTCATTGACAAATACATAGGACATAAAAGTTTTACAGGAACAAAGTTTGCGTCAACTAAGGTTAAGTTTATGTTTGCTAAAGTGTTTGAGTTTACTAAAGCTGAAAACTCTGCATTCGAATGAACAATAGGCAAACCAGCAGAGAAAGTGTTGTTTATACGCATGAGTATCTTTTGGTCATAGTAGTTTCTGTCGACATTCGAATAACACTTTGAACCTAAGTTTGAAACAATATATAAGATTGGTGTGCTTAATGTCAATGGAATAGACATTCCTTGTATGACACCTTTTCCTGTTATAGGAAACTGTTGGTAGTAAAAACCAGATATAAGTTTTGTATTATAGCTCATATCGTTTATACTAAACTCAGTCGGACATCCAAACATAATGAAACCTGCTCTAGTTGCAGCACATGTTACATCCGTCCTTAAAGTATTAAATAAGTCAACAAAACCTGTTGGTGGTATATCTGAGTAAGTATCTTCAAAGAAGTATTTTTTACCATTCACAACAACAAAGTCTTCTGGTGTCAAAAGAGCAAAACAGGCTTTAGTCGTCATCGTGTTTAAGGTCAGTTTACAATATCGTCCTTGAGGACTTTGTAAGTTTGTTGTTATAGAATTATATGACTCAGGGTTTTTAGTCGTAATAGTATAAACCACTATGTCTTCTGCCATTTACTTAGCAAGTAAATTTTAATGAAATGTTGTGGTCGTCAAATATTTTTATGACGTCTGGGAAACTATATTTTAAGTTCAACGTCTCACCTCCTTTCATAACATATATCTTGTCAATGACATTATATGAAACACCACAGCAAGCAATGTCAGGTTCTATTTCTTTGATGTTTATATCGTCTGCCTCTGTCAAAAGTTTCAATAGTTCTTTCAAAATTTCATGAGGTGCGATGACATATGAGTTCACTTTTACAGGGTTGTGCTCAACCAAGTTTAACATTATACCTAAAGCTTGACAAATCTTCTCCTGAGTTTTAAGTTTGTCTTTAAGTTGTTGGTAGTCGTTTCGAATATCTGCAACAGAACTTAACTCTCTGCTAACTTCAGGGTATGTTGGTTGTTCTTTTACAGGAACTATTGTTATACCATCTTCGTCTTCGTATGGTTTCCCCACTTCAACATCTCTGTCTTTGACATTGACAACAACACTTTGACTGTTTGTTTGAGTTGGTGAATTTAACTTCACATCTGCCACCGCCATTAAACCTTTTGAAACACTCACGCTTCTATTTTTCGGAAATGACATTTTACTAAGAATAAAAAGATGGACGTATTTGAGTATCTCTTCGAATTGAAGCAGAACAAAGTTTACACACACAAACAATACAAATACATTGACAGAATAGTTCTTTATACAAACAATGGAAAATGTTATAGAATAGCAGTCTTTGCTGAACCAAAATATTTTCATAAAGCAAAGAAAGTTGGTATAACCGAAATGGTGAAAGTTCTTGAAGCAGACAAAAATATAACAACAAAACTGACCGATATTTCTAAAGGAAAGTTTATCTTACAATTTTATGTCAAAACTGGCGTACTGTCAATATTTGACGGAGAGAAGTCAGTTCAAGAACAACTTACTGACCTGCTGCCAAAATCTGCTCGATGGAAGCTGTCGTTATACCAATCTGAGGAGCCCCAGCAGGTTTCATCGAACGAATCTTCAAAAGAGCATCTTCTGTGAAAAGTGCTATTGGTTTTGTAAACTTCTTTGCTCTCAGTTCATCTGGACCGTCTCTGTCACCAGTATATTGTATTTGAACTGTACCAACAGTTGAAATACCACCCATAAAGTCTTCTGAGTCAGCAAATGGAATGCCAAGCCAAAAGTTTGAACGGTCTCCATTTGTATATTGAGTTTTTTGACCTCCTGTATGGGTCCATACTTTCACATATGGCATAATAGAACTTTGCATTTCAGGGTTAATGGTTGTTGTGAAGTTGTTGTTAAAGTTCATAGCATCTAATGTCAAGTTGTATGACCTCATATCCTCAACTGTAGAATATTCTTCTCTTGGATAATATTTGCCATCTATGTTTATATGATATTTAATACCGGGTTGTAGAAACAAGAATAGTCATTTATAGTTCGTCTGAACAGTACAAACATAGTATCTGCATGTTTCATTGCAGTTGTTAAGGCAATATCTGTTCTTGCACCTGGGTCAGCACTTTGGTTTCCAACTTCACCTGCAAAGTCTTTGACAGATATTTGGTGTATAGGGAACATAAGTGGAACTGCAATATATTTGGCAGCTAAAGCATTTGAAATATCTGGGTCCAACATATAGACTGCAAGTCTGCTTTCTATTCTCTTGCATTCAAACTTTTCGCATGTGAACTTAACTGGGTCCCAAGCAGTTCCAGCAGCATTGAAATAATAGTTTACTTCAGTGTTGAGGTTTGAGAAACCAAAGTCTAAGTCAACTTTGTCTTTGCAAAAGTCGGCGAATGACGTTTTATTTGTTCCCACTACTTCTGTAAGAGTGAATGGGTCTTGTGTTGGTGCAATGACTAAGTTATTTTTGCTTGGAGTAAGTTCGATAGAAATTTTTCCTGCCCAGTTTGGCAAGTATCTTAAAAACCTGAAGATGAGGAAAGATGACAAAGGAACTCTAAGTTTCAGTTTTACTTTAGTGGCAGCATTTCCATCTGAACCAGAAAGGTTAACATAAACTCCTGGAACGTTAGGGTCAAGTCTTCTTATTTTCTCAATGGTGGCATACTGGTCTGTTTGTTCTCTAGCTTGTGGTTGTACTGAGTTTCTCAAAGCGAACCATTCATAGTTTGCCCATGTTACTGTTTGAACTAAGTCAGAGTTAGAATATATCTTATATCCCATGAAAACTTCTGGAGCATATTGGTATCCGACATAGAAAATTCCATTGCAACCTTTCTTGTCAGACAACTTGGCAGAAGGTTTTATTTCAATGTCTTGTTCCACGTATAAGAAAGAGTTGTCAATAGAAATTATATGAAACCTGTCGCAAGCAATATCTACTGTTGTTGAAGAACCTTCTCCAAACTCACCTACGTTTCCATAAGAAACAGCAGTTGTATATTCGTAAGTTCCAGGAACTATTTCTGACCTTCTAATGGCATTGTCGCATTCGTTATACCATTCGGAAACATTTCCATTCATAGCATCCAAAACTGTTGGCGTTATATTCTGAGCGGCGTACATTTCATATGAGTAAAAATATAGAATAGTTGGATTTATATGTCATAATAGAACCCACTCCGACCAAGCTTTACTTTCTTCCTGACTGAGTTTTTAACTCTTCTTTTTCCTTCATTGCCCTCTGCTTGAAGTTGTTGCATCTTTGCATTATGTTCATCTAGTATGTTGCAAATTTCCCATGTCCTTTTTGCCTTTGGGCTCTGGTCGCCCATCTCAGGTAACCTATATCCTAGAAAGATTTTGTCATAGTTTGTATTTGAGTCTTCGCGTATTGTTTGCATGACTCTTTCCTGAGTTTCCGGTTCAAGCTCTTCAAACAGTGCCTGTCCATATGGAATATGCTCGTTTCCAAATATATGTTTTTGTAGCCATTCTGGTTTTCTTTCCATGTTACCAACTATATCTTTTGTGAATGGGAAAGCTTTTACCCAATCTTTCAGTCTTGCGTCGTTTATTTCTGTAGTTGGTTTTATTTTGTCAAGGAACATGTTTTTCAATACTAACATTTCATTTGGTACTGTCCATTTGAGTTTTCTTAAATATTCATCCCTTCTCAGTTCATTGTCTGCAAAGTAAGTTTTTATGACATTTTGTAAACTTTCGTTTGCAAGGTCATGTACAATAGGTTCTCTTCCTTCGCTGTCCATAACTTTCTTTCTAAACTCTTCACCAAATATACCATCTTTATGGTTCTGTGTAGTTCTTTGAGATAAATGTTCTAGAACGTCAGGTGTTATATTTCCATCAGCCATGTTCATTTCATACTGGTCCAAAATATCTGCATGTTTCATATCTTTCAATGGCATTAAAGCCGCGCTGAAAATACCAGCTATATCTGGTTCACCATTGACTTCCATTGCGTCTACAACTTCTTGGAATTGTGGTTGTAAGTTTATGAACCACCTATCCGGGTTAGCTTTATGACCCCATCTCATTGTAGTTCCATCGTCTGCAGAAACAAAAGTAGGTTTGTTTCCATCTTGGTTAGGTTCTGAATGAACTTTAAACAATGTTTCATTTCTATATGTTTTCTTGAAATTTAACCTTTTATTTTCACCGAGTTCAGCCAAAGATTGAACGTTATATGGTCGTAAGTAAAAAGGGTTGTTGTATTTGTGTACATTTTCTTTCAGTACTTCCATTCTATGCTGAATATTTTCATCTGGTGTTGGAGTCTTTTGTATGTCGGCAAACATTTTTCGATATTCTTCTACTATGTCAGCCGAATTTTTTTTAGACTCTTGGAAATATTCCATATTCTCCGCATACTCTTGTTGAGGGTCAAGATTTTTCGGCTGTTCCAAATCTTCATCTAGTTCTGTGAAGTTAGTTTCCAAAGGAGTGACTTGTTCGTTTCCTTCAGGCTCTTCTAGCTGTTGTTGCTGAACTATTTCTTCCATGTCTGGTTGTATCTGAACTTCTTCCTGTGGAGTTTCTTGTACCTCATCTGCTGGCATTTCATATATTCCGAGACCGTTTTCAACAATTTCCCTATCTACGTCATCCGCATTCATAAGCTTTTGTTCTTTCGTTCCGTCTCTATTTTTACGCGTTTCATGACGAAAGTTGAATTGTCATTTAGCTCTGACATCAAATATCTCGGAGTAAATTCATCCATGTCATTTGGATGATATGCTATTAAATCATATCCCTTAGCGAGCTTGTATTTTCCAGGTTTGAGATTATATCCGTTTTGGTGCTGAGCCATAAAGCTAAATAGGTTCGGGTCAGTATTTCCATCCTTGAACTTTCCAATAGCTTCTTTATATCTGTCACTAAAGTCAACAGTATCTGGGAAACCACACTCTTCTTTAAGCATTTTTAAGAATTCTTGGTTTCCTTGTTCTCTACTTCTTTTATGTCCTTGCTCTGTTTGTGGTTGTTGTTGTGCAGGGTTTTGAACTGTTGGTTGTGGTGCTGGTTGTTGTGTTGGTTGTTGTGTTGGTTTTGGTGCATGCCTGTGTCTATGTCCATGTGACGATGTAAATGTTTTAGGTAGTCCTGGTGCAGGTGCTTCTCTTGGAGGGTTTGGTGGTATATAAGTTCCACCAGCTGGCACATATGTTCCATCTGCAGCGTAATGTCCTACCTGACTTTTCGTTCTTAAGAAAGCATTTACTAGGTCTGTTTTGGTCTGTTGTAACTCTTTTTCTTGACTTTTCACAACAGTTGCTCTAACGGCGTCATAGGCACTTTGAACTGCCTGTCTCGTTGCTGCATCTGTTATTTTCGTCATATTTTGTGCTACTTCTTTTAACTCTTTGTCGAAACCTTCAGACTTCAGTTTCTTTCCAGATGAGAAGTCGTTCACTTGTTTCACCTTACTATGAAGAGCTTCGAAGGCGTTCTTAAAGTCAGCATTTGTTAAAGCTTCATTTGAACTGTCTTCATCCGCTTGTATTTTTGTCCTTATTGACCCTATGAGTTGGGCTGCTTTAGCGTTGGCTTGGGCATCTAACCAGTCATTGTTAGCTTTTATATATTCTGCGCTTTTCATTGCCTTTTGCATAGCCGCGTCGTTATTTTTACTTTCTTGTGCTAAGTTTTCATACTGTACGGTTTGGTTTTGCAACTGTAAAAGTTTTTCTGCCTTTACATTTGCTTCAACTTCTTTTTTATACTCATCGCTATCCATATATGTCTTCAGGGCTTTTTGTTTTATCTCTTCATCTTTCAGTATTTTATATTGAGTAGTATGGTTTTTCAAATTTATGACATCTTGTTCCATTTTTGCTACTTCTGTTGCTTTTTCTGACACTTTTTTCGCATATTCCTCTGTACTTAGTTCTTTCAGTTGTTCTTCTTTCTTCTTTTTCTCTACGTTTAACTCATTGAGTTTCTTTGTGTGTCTGTCATATTCTAGTTTCTTTTCGTTTTCACTTATTTGCTTCTGTATGTCTATGTTTGACTTTTTGACATCTGTTATTTGATTTTTGAGTGAACTCAAATTCATTTGACTTTGAGGGTTATAGGCTGTTCCGTCTGCAGCTCCACCATAGCCTGCCATTTTCGCTAAAAGTGCCGCTCTTAAACCTCCACTCTGTGCACCAACAACTCGGTTTAAAAGCATAGGGTTGCTTGACATTTGTTGCAACATAGTGGGGTCATTCAGCATTTGTTGTTGCAACTGTTGTTGTGGTGTCAGTTTTACTATTGGATGTTTCAATGCTCCCTTCCTCTTACGTATATTCTTACGTAGCTTACGTGGCATTTTAAGTGAAGTTAAAAAGCGGTTTTTGACAGATGTTTTATTGTGACTTCTTCGTAAAGACTTTGTTGTGACTTCTTCGTAAAGACTTTGTTGAGATTTCTTCGTAAAGACTTTGTTGAGATTTCTTCGTAAATGACCCAAAAATATATTTTAGGTGAAGAGGTGAGATTTCACCTCTTTTTTCACCTCATTTCTCACCTCTTGAATTTTCATGAATTTCTTCGTAAAGACTTTGTTAAGACTTCTTCATCTAATTTCTCATGAACTTTCTTGTCTATGTTTTGTTGAGATTTCTTCGTAAAGACTTTGTTGAGATTTCTTCGTAAATGACCCTAGTAGTATATTTTTGGTGTAAATTTCATGAAAATTCAAGAGGGTGAAAAATTAGGTGAAAAAACAGGTGAAATCTCACCTCTTCACCTAAACATTATTTTTGGTGTAAAATTCAACGGGTGAAAAATTAGGTGAGAAAACAGGTGACATCTCACCTCTTCACCTAAACATTATTTTTGGTGTAAATTTCATGAAAATTCAAGAGGTGAGAAATGAGGTGAAAAAACAGGTGAAATCTCACCTCTTCACCTAAAATATATTTTTGGTGTAAATTTCATGAAAATTCAAGAGGTGAGAAATGAGGTGAAAAAACAGGTGAAATCTCACCTCTTCACCTAAAATATATTTTTGTCTGATTTTACGAAGAAGTCTTGACAAAACATTTACGAAGAAGAAGTCTTGACAAAGTCTTTACGAAGAAGTCTTAACAAAGTCTTTACGAAGAAGTCTTAACAAAACATGAAAACATATATAATTTGTGAAAAGTGAAACATTATATAATGTTTTCGACCAAGAAGACTAACAATTTTCCGAATAAAAACTTCATTTATACTAAACATCTTCGGGGCTAGAAGGCACGAAGTGCCTGGAAGCCCCACTACCTTTTTTTTTTTTTTTTTTTTTTTTTTTTTTTTTGGAATAGCAATGAATAGTGATGTGGGTATAGAAAATGTAAGAGATATGAATGCAAAGCAATCAGTATTTAGGATATTGACCATAGATTTCGAAAAAAAAATGCTGCATATTGAGCGAAAACTATGATTATATTATAAGGCTGTCATTTAAAGCATAATGAAACTATTCCCTTTTCATTTTAATCGAATAAGATAGTAAAGATTTTTGAATTAGCTAGAAACTAATGAGATGTTTTCACAAATCAGATTTTTAATCTCTATAATGCATAATTCACTCAATATCTTAATTTTGATATTGCGAGATATTTTTGCTATCGGTTTAGCAATTTTGACACAATAGCAAGAGGGTTCTATAAGCATTATTATCAACGTAGAATCTGAATATCATATCAGAAAATGTCGCAAATCCGACATTTACCCGACCAAATAGCAAAAATAATTGAATACTTTTCGCAAAAACTTTAAAAATCGATAAAAATATGAAATATAGATATTAAAGAGACTTTTTATTTAATATTCATAAAGAGTTTCCAAAAATATGATACCGCAAAATTAAAAAAGTGACGTCTTGAGTGGAGTCAAAGGTCGAAATTGCTAGCTAAATGTTTTTTTAGCGAAATTGCGTATTGTACGTTTTTTCGCAAAACGAAACCCTTATCGTAAATTTCTTATTTACTAAATTCTGTTTTGTTTTCCAGATGAATAACATATATATTTCTCATTTTAAATTTCAAAGTTGATGATGGAAAATTTCTAATGTGTCATTTTTTTCTCAAAATTATTAATGTCTGAGCAAGATAATCATCCAAATAAATACAGTGAATTGCGAAGTATCTCTAAATACTACATTGATTCATTTAATGCATTGTATCATTTAAAAACAAAAAATGAAGAAGAATTAAAAGATATTTACAAAATGATCAAAACAGAATTGATTGATTCAAAGAAATATCTCCCAGAATATATTATAAAAGATATTTTAGGTATCATTCCGTATAATAACCGCTATACAAAGTCATATTTATCTCTTGCAAAACTCATTTCTGATGATTATCATGTCCAAGAGGTCAGAAATACTATACTTATTTCCAACTTCTTGTTCTATAAAGAATATGGAATTAAATTAGACAAATCCGATTATTTTGAAAAATCCGACTCAGAAAATCTGGATATTCATACAGAAAATACAATTTACAGGGCAATTATGTATAATGACTTAGAAAAATTCATTGCATTCACAGAAAGAGATGGATTTGATGAAGATCAAACACTTGAAAGCGATTTGTATCCAGTATATTACCCAAAATATTCATTGCTTGAATTATGTTGTTACCATGGAGCAGTTGATTGTTTCAAGTTATTAATATCGAAATTTCACTCAGAAATAACTCAATCATGCCTTCAATTATCATTTTTGGGCGGAAATCAAGAGATCATGAGTGAATGTTTGAAATATCAAACGCCATCTAAAGAATGCATGTTTTATGCAATTCTTTCACACAACATTGATTTTGTTACATTTTTGATGAATGAATACAACATAGAGATTGATTTAGAAAATTGCGGAAGATTTAATAATCTTGAATCATTTTTAGTTTATTTCGATCAAACTAATGATATTAACAAATGCTTTATTTATTCCACACAGTTCAAGACTCTATCCTTTTGCGAATATTTCCTCTCATGCGGTGCAAATATCGATGCAAAAGATGAAAGTGGAGAAACTGCTCTTCATATTGCTACTCAAGTTAATAGTACTGAAATAGTCGAATTTCTTATTTCACATGGTGCAAAAATCAATCAAAAAGATAATGATGGATTCACCGCTCTTCACTGTACAATATTTTATTTTAATAAAGAACTAGCTGAACTTCTTGTCACACATGGTGCAAATATCAATGAAAAAGATTATGATGGAAAAACTCCTCTTCATATTGCAGCATTTAATAATATTAAAGAAGTAGCCGAACTACTTATTTCACATGGTGCAAATATCAATGAAATAGATGCAAGTGGACGAACTGCTCTTGATGTTGCAATATATACTAATAGTAAAGAAATGATGGAACTTCTCTTTTCACATGATGCAGAATTTAATTCTACTTTGTAAGACGTTTAAGCAAAACGTGTATGGTGAAAGATTTATATATACATTACGCAAATCGATGTTTAAGAATCAGCTGCAACGATAGAGAGGGTTCAATTTTTGTGTACTTTTTTACAAAATAATCGTTATTGTCCATTTTAATAATATCTGCTGCATTTGATGAAAATGATTAAAAAGTAACACACAATCGCGTATCATTGAAGCGGACCCTTAAGAGTCGCCTCTACTCGCTACCTTTACGGGCATGAATTGTTCAAATTGTACAATTAGTACTAATTATATAGGAATATTTTCGTCTTTGTATTACCTTTCACATAGTCAGATATAGTCAAAGTACCTTTATACTGGACAGTGATAGTATGAAATATTAAGAATCAGAGTTATTGCTTTGAAGGAGAAGTGAAGTGACTCTACTAGTAGACTCGACCATTAAATTTACAAATAATTCACAGATTTTTACAAAGTTGGAGATCCCAGCCGTTATTTCTCCAAACGAGATCCTTACTGTGGACCTTATAAAATGAAACAATATAAAACTTTAGTAGAATAACTGAAACGGTTTTTAAAGGTTTCCCAAACCGTTAACACCATCACCTCATTTTATGTTTTGATGATAAAGAATTATATTACAATATGAGCTATCTAAGAAAAACATTGGTAAACTCAATGTTACTCGCAATGGAAGTCGATTTACTTTTGGTTTTCCATGTGATGATTCATCAGGTGATTGTACACCATATACAGTTAAACTTGTTCATGGAGTGTACTTATTTGAAGCATGGGGTGCATCAGGAACGGCCCAAATACATCCTAATGGGCCAGTATTTCCAGGTTTAGGTGGATATTCATCGGGAATTCTTAAGGTTAATGAACCATTATTGACGATATATTTATATATAGGATCCCAAGCTTTGTTTAATTCCATCAAAGAATCAATAGGAGAGGCATATATTGGTGGAGGTTCTTCTGATATTCGCCTGTATTCAAATCCTTCCTTTGATTGGTTTGACCCTTTGTCTCTCCGCTCCCGAATTTTGGTTTCAGGTGGGGGTGGTGGGTCAGAATGGGCTGGTTCACAAGGAGGCCACGGTGGAGGATTAGAAGGAGGTGCTAGTAACAAAGATGCAAAAGGAGGAACACAAACAAGAGGTGGAATTGCATGTCATGATTTTATTGGGTATAATTGCACAGAAGGATTGTTTGGTATGGCATCATATGTTTCAAATTCATATGATTTTGGTGGTATGGGAGGTAATGGATATTATAGTGGTGCTTCTATTGATTATGCAGGTGCTGGTGGTGGGGGAAGTTCATTTATTTCAGGATATGAAGGTTGTATTGCTCTTAATAGTGATGCAGACAACTCTCCAAATCCAAATAACTCTTCTATCCACTATTCAGGTAAATATTTTATTAATCCTATAATGATCCAAAGAAATAATCCTATGCCTCTTTACGCATCAGATTCTTATGGTATTGGAAATTTAGGGCGAGGTGTTATTCGAATTACAGTCCTATCTTATTACCTTTGTACCAATCAGCGTAGTTATATTTTTGAATTAAATCTTGTTAAACTTTCTTTAGTTTTTATTGAATTGTAAATATAAAAAAATATCATTTTTATTAATTATTTTTTAATCTTTCAGTTTTTCCTAATTATTGTAAGAAAATAGGAAAATAGGATTTGCAAACGCAAATTTAATTTTCAGAAATATTTTTAATATTCTTATACATTTACATTATGATTTCCAAACATTTTATGGAATGTTATAATATTTAACTAATAATATTAAGGCTGCACTTACGTCCATCTGACTTTAATTCAGTTTTTTGGCAACTGGCGTGAAGCATAATTGAAAATTAACCTTAAACATCTGAATAGAAGGCCGTGTCATAGGGGTGTAAGTACACCTTTAAGAAAAAAATTGTTTTTGCATGTTTTTTGCATTTGTAAACTTGAATTTAGATTATTGGCGTGTTAACTTTTCAATTCTCTCAAATTTTGAGAGGCAGACCAGCCATTTTTCATTTTTATGTACATTATATAGCTAGTTCAAGTTTTAGAAAAACTATTTTTTTTAATATGAGAAATAATCTTTATAAAATACAATAGAAATCAAGGTAATTTACAAAGCATCTGGTGAAAGAATGTAACCATGATACTGAGGAAGCTTTGGACAGCAATATTTGCACATAGATTCCTTGAAACTTCGTTTGTGGGCCATGAGTTCGCCAGCATCAGTAATTAATTGGTCTACATTCCAATTCTTGAACTTTTTGATCTCATCTAAAGCGTTTATACAGTTTTCTGGTATTTTGATCTGATGTGTATGCGCAATTGTAAATGCATTGATCATATAGTTGTAACTCTCAAGCCTACCGAATATTTGATCCCAAATTCTCAATGTTGATTCAATATCGTGCTCATCTGAGAATAATAATAATTCGAATTTGACTCCAAACAAAAGGATGGAGACTCCTTTGGATGAAAGGAGATTGTACTTAGGGCGGTCATAGTTTAAAAGGATCTTATCGAGGTCATTAAAGTGTTTAACAAGCTCTTTCTGATTATCAAGGAGTCTGGCCATTGGAATGAGACTTAATGTGCTGCAAACAAGGTGATAAGCTATAGCTTCAGCGAATTCTAGAGGAAGATTGCCTTGTTGGCAAAATCTTAAAGCAAGAGCGAAATAAATGTAGCCATACTTATCATAGCCCTGTGTATATTGTATTTCTGGATGTTCTCGTTCGAGTACTGCAAAAATTCTTGAAATTCTAAATTCAATATCAATCTTTTTTGAAAGATCAAGGCCAAATGATGGATCAATGGACTTAAAATACGGCATGGCCTTTGTTATATCTGTTCTTAATGCAGTTTCAGTTTTTGTTGATACAATTGCCAAAGGATCATCTTGAGATTTTTCAAAATAGAATTTGAGGTGATCATAATACATATCTGTAGCCTTTAATAAGCTTTGAGACCATTTTGATCTATTAGGAACAATAATTTTCAGATAAATCAAGTAGGAAATGAGTCTATCAATTGGATTTTTCTTTGCACTGTCTGTAAGAAGGAATTTTCTAGCATCCATGTAATTAAAGATGAGGCCATCTCCAAGTCTGAATGCATCGGTCAAAACAACTTCATCAGGAGTCTTAAGTTGCATTTGTAATAAGTGATTTTTTCTACGATCAAAGAAAAAAAAATTTATTTGAATGGAGAATAAATTTTGGCACTTTTCACCAAAATTAATTTTGTCTAAAATAAGGGTTTCGTTTTGCTAAAATTGTCACTTTTATAGCATATTTGTTTTTGGATGTTTTGCGAAACCAAAAAAAAACTATGATATACAATGTGTGTGTAAAGAAAATACTTTATTTACTAGTTAAAAAATCATTTGGTATTGATCAAGTTATTTTTTCTGGATAAGATATTATATGGATAATTGGATAGAAAATACAATTATATAATCTTGTACCTGGTTTAATTAAGCTAATTGTCATCAGAAACTTGTAATTTTTATGAATTTCAGATTTTCTTTTCATTACTGCTTTTCTTAATAGGTCAAGTTCTTATTTACGTTATAAAGTATGATACTTACAAATATCAAGTTATCATGTTTTTTGAGAAATTATGAGAAACAAACAAAAATGAAAAAGATAGGAATAGCAATGAATAGTGATGTGGGTATAGAAAATGTAAGAGATATGAATGCAAAGCAATCAGTATTTAGGATATTGACCATAGATTTCGAAAAAAAAATGCTGCATATTGAGCGAAAACTATGATTATATTATAAGGCTGTCATTTAAAGCATAATGAAACTATTCCCTTTTCATTTTAATCGAATAAGATAGTAAAGATTTTTGAATTAGCTAGAAACTGATGAGATGTTTTCACAAATCAGATTTTTAATCTCTATAATGCATAATTCACTCAATATCTCAATTTTGATATTGCGAGATATTTTTGCTATCAGTTTCGCAATTTTGACACAATAGCAAGAGGGTTCTATAAGCATTATTATCAACGTAGAATCTGAATATCATATCAGAAAATGTCGCAAATCTGACATTTACCCGACCAAATAGCAAAAATAATTGAATACTTTTCGCAAAAACTTTAAAAATCGATAAAAATATGATACCGCAAAATTAAAAAAGTGACGTCTTGAATGGAGTCAAAGGTCGAAGTTGCTAGCTAAATGTTTTTTTAGCGAAATTGCGTATTGTACGTTTTTTTCGCAAAACGAAACCCCTATCTAAAACCATTTAATATGTCACAGAATACCATCAGATCAATTCTTGTAGTCCGAATTCAATTCCGAGGTTAGAATGCGAGGATGATCGGAAAATTTGTGAAATTTACATTTAAAAAATTCGAATCAATTTCAAGACATATCAAAAAAGAATCTATTCTCTATCCTCTTAACTTACATTTTGATAAGGAGATACTCATGAAATGCTGCTGCTCACATTACACATGATTAACAACGATTTTTTTTTAAAATTCATAACAAATACTCAACAATGATACATTTTTGGAGATAACATACTCATATCCATGTAATAGCAGATGCATATCTATGTAGTATAAGATGTAAATACTCTTTGCAACATATTTTATAAATAAAAAGTAATCCAAATTAAGTGCTATTTGCTGAAATCAGCTTAACTGTCCTAGTCATTGATGTTTTATAACAATTCTTTATTCCAAGAACTGTGCGGAACTTTTCAAAATTTTGTATTAAAAATTATGATTCGTAAATTTTAGTAGTTACTATATGCGCAGTAATATTTTCTAAAAAGGTGACAAGAATTAGAAGTTTTGAGAGCAATGTACGTTTTTTGTTCTTGAAAATGAATTCTTATTGATCGATGATATTGTACTTATCCTAAAAAGCAAATTTATTTAAATATTTTTACAAGATTTTTTGTTTATTCAATTCAAAATGCTTGGAAAGGCTGGAGCATCCCAGAACGAAGAAAAGCGTCTGTTCAAGGAATATCGTTACAACATCAATTTCTTTCCAATGCTTTTATGTCTTATCAATGCTGCTGTAGGTAGAGGCATTGTCTCTCTTGGAAATGCTTTTCGTTGTGGTGTATTTACTTCTTTAATTCTTTGCACAGTTATTGGCATAGTTAGCTATTATTCGATGTACTTCTTTATTAAAGCTGGAGCTGCAACACATTCAGGAACCTTTGAAGATATTTGGGCTGCTACATTTGGACCAAGGACTATTTGGATTTGCGCCTTTTTGTCCATTTCAAGAAAATTTGTTACTCTTAAGAGCTACTTCTCTTATATTATTTCAACAATCATCTCTTTGATCAAACAATATAGCAACACTGATAATGTTCCATGGTGGGCATTAACAAACGAGTTCTACCTTCTAATTTTCATTGTTTTGTTCATTATTCCTTTTGCTCTTACAAAATCACTCAAAACGGTCTCAGTAATCTCAGCCATTTCATGCTTTTGCATATTATATCTTCTCGCAGTTGTTATTTACTATTTCGTCGATTCCGTCAAAACAAATGGTTTTGATCCAAACAAACAAATTGTTTATTTCTCTTTTGACAAGAAAGTTTCAACATGCATCTCATCCTTGATGACTGCATACCTTGTTTACCCTCTCGCTTACCCTGGTTTAAATCATCTCCGTCATGCAACAGTAAAACGCCTCAACTTACTTGCCATTACACTCATTGTAATTCTTTGGGCCTTGTATTACACATTCGGTATCCTTTGCTACCTTTCTCTCTTTGATACAAACACAGGAGGTGCAATTCTTTCTTATTTCAAGAAAAGACCTCTTAAAACAGTCTCCGAAGTTGTCCAAATGCTCATGATCGCTACAACAATCCCAATTGTTATAAGTCCAATGAGATATATCATGATTAACATTTACGTTAAAGTTACAACCATTCAGTATGCAATTTGGGTTGTTGTTGGTATCATTATTGGCCTTATTGGCATTGTTTTGATTGGTGCCCAAGGTGATTTCTCGACATACCTCGGTTTTGCTTCTGATGTCTTGGCTCCTGTTGTTCTTTGGGGCCTACCTGCCATTCTTTACCTTAAGGCATGTGGAAGACAAAACATGTTCCACTTTATCGGAGCAATTTTCACAATTTGCTTAGGAATCGCTGCCATTGTATTTATTGTCTACATGAAGTTTTTCGCATAAAGAATTTTATATTTTTCATGAAAATTTTCATTATTATTTTTTTATTATTATGACAACTCTCAAATTTTTTGACATCCAAGCTTTATATCATTTGCATGAGAGTTGTCATAAAGAATTTTATATTTTTCATGAAAATTTTCATCAATAATTTTTTATTGTTAAGGGTGCACTACAAGGATTAGAAAGTTCTCAAAAAATTCATAGAGCTCTATCAATTCTCTTATCCTCCAAAATAATAAAACCCTATATTTCGCTTCATTGTAATAAAATATTTTAATTTTGATTTAAGATATAGAATTAATTAAGGCACCCTCATTACATATATAACTTTGGGCTTCAAATTTTTATTATTGGCCGAGTTAGAAAAAATCATGAAAAAATCAACTTTTTAAAATTGAACTTGAGGAAAAAATTTTCAGCATTTTTTGATCGATAAAGATATTTTTTCTTCTCATCAATACATTGGTACACATATACCCTTGCTATTTATCCTATTTATTTTTTAAAAAACTCATTTTTCAAAGAGTTGAAAAAGAGGTCCAAAAAACAAAGTCCTGCACTCCAAGGATAAAAATTCTTAAAAAATTGAAATTAGAACATAAAAATCATAACATAAGTTCTTAATGATATCAGTATTATATATTTCGTGTTATTTTTGATATATCTTAAATGTGTTGTGAATTATTCTTAAAAAAATTTAAAAAGCTTCTAAATATCATATATTAAAACAACAATAGTAAGGAATATAAAATGCATCATAATGTTAAGGAAAATCACTTTATAAATATTATGAAAAATTTGAAAAATGAGAGGAAAGCATATAATATATCATAAATGTATTCTATTTCTCACAATGTATTGGTTTATCATGCTTAAAATGCAAAGAAGTGCGAAAAAATTAAAATTGAAAAATATTAGCAATCACAAATCAAATTTTGATGTTTTTCTAGATTAGAATTCATACTTATTTCATTTATATTAGATATGCAGAACATATTAAGGTGCTTATCGGGAAAATTAAGAAGATTTAATTAAAATTTTGAAATATGTTTTAGTTCAAGGATAATGAGATATATGATATGAATACACTCTCATTGAGGATGCATTTAAGCTCATGTTAATTTTTCATGATATTTTTAGAGTTCGAAAGTACCAAAAGTACAAGGATTTTTTTAGAAAAAAAGGAGGATTAAAAAACCGTAATCCTCCTAGTGCACCCTTAAGAGTACACTTACGCCCCTATGACAGGGCCTTCAATTCAGATGTTTAAGGTTAAATTTCAATGGCGCTTCACGCCAGTTGTCAAAAATTTGAATTAAAGTCAGATGGGCGTAAGTGCAGCCTTAAGTGTGCACTTACCACTTTCTGAATGCTATGAAAAAATCAATGTTTCTTTATATAGGGATTTATATTTACTTTCTCTCGACCAAAAAATATTAACTTTCGACCTTAGAAAATTGTGATATAAAGTTTGGATGTCAAAAAAATTGAGAGTTGTCAGAAAGTGGCAAGTGCATCCTTAAGGGCTCACTGCCTCAGTTTACAACTATTCAATTTTTTAGACTCAATAAAAAGCTATTTTAATGACAATATCCTGTTCACTGTTTCTTTACTATTATAATATGCATCATTATGAAGAGCGATTTTTCCATCATAATTTTTTTTCGTTGATATTTGCACCATGTGAAATTATCAGTTTGGCTGTTCCTTTATTATTAAACTGTGATGCAATTTGAAGAGCTGTTTGTCCAAATTTATCTTTTTCGTTGATATTTATACCATGTGAAACAAGAAGTTCTGCAGTTTCTTTATTATTATAATATGCTGCAATATGAAGAGCAGTTTCTCCATTTTCATCTTTTTCGTTGATATTTATACCATTTGAAATAAGAAGTTCGGCTATTTCTTTGCTATTACGAATTGCTGCATTATGAAGAGCTGTTCTCCCAAAATTATCTTTTTCATTGATATTTATACCATGTGATATAAGAAATTCAGCTGATTCTTTACAATTATTTTCTGCTGCATAATGAAGAGCTGTTTCTCCATTTTCATCATTTTCATTGATATTTGCACCATTTGATAGGAAATATTTGCAAAGAGATGGTATATCAAACATTGCAGATTTAACAGAGCAATTGATAACATCATTAGTTTGATCGAAATAAACTAAAAATGATTCAAGATTATTATGCATTCCACAATAAAATAATTTGATCTCTATATTGTATTCATTCATCAAGAATGTAACAAAATCAATGTTGTGTGATATAATTGCATAAAACATGCATTCTCTATATGGTTTCTGATGTTTCAGGCATTCACTCATGATCTCTTGATTTCCTCCTAAAAATGAAAGTTGTAGACATTTTTCAGTTATTTCTGACTTAAATTTCGTTCTTAATAACTTGAAACAATCAACAGCTCCATGGTAACAACATAATTCAAGTAATGAATACCCTCTGAAAGAATATGGAAATAAATCGCTTTTCAGTGTTTGATCTTTATCAAATCCATCTCTTTCTGTGAATTGGATGAATCTTTCTAAGTCATTATACATAATTGCTCTGTAAATTGTATCTTCTGTATGAATATCCAGATTTTCTGAGTTAATTCCTTCGAAATCATCTGATTTGTCTAATTTAATTCCATATTCTTTTAAAAACAAGTAGTTAGAAATAGGCAAAATATTTCTGACCTCTTGGACATGATATTCATCAGATATGAATTTGGTAAGTGATAAATAAGACTTTGAATAGCGAATATTATATGGAATGATATTTAAAATATCTTTTATAATATATTCTGGGAAATATTTCTTTGAATCAATCAATTCTGTTTTGATCATTTTGTAAATATCTTTTAATTCTTCTTTGTCCGTTTTCAGCTGATATAAAGCAATATATGAATCAATGTAGTGTTTATAGATACTTCGCAGTTCGCTGTATTTATTTGGAGGAATGGCTTTGTCGGACATTAATAATTTTTTAAAAGGACATATTTGTATTTTAATGCATAAGTATCTTTTAAACTTATTAGAAGAAAGAAATATTATGTTAGACATATGTAAATCAATGATCACGCTCAAATTTATTTTAATAAACTCACTTCCTATAGCTAACTGAGGTCAGAAATTATATTATATCAAATTTGATATTTTTGTCTATAAAATTGTTGTAAGTTTAAACATTCAAACTACAGATCTCTAGACATTATTCAATTCATTCTGACAAAAAGCATCATGACATGCTTGTCCAATTAATTTTAAATTCAAAATAAGGGTGTATATTTTTAAATTCACTGCTATTTATAAATAAGTCTAATGTCAAAGAAGAAAATTTTACCCGTCTGTAGTCAAATATTGAAATTATTTTAAATCCAATGATGTGTGATAACTGAAAGGTTTCTAATTTTAAGAAAAATACTGTAAATATTTCATTAGAGAAACAGTTTTCAATTATTTTTCCACAAATTTTGTAAAGCTTTCAATCTGTATCAAGAATTAGATTGCATTTTTCAAAAGTTTTATGATATTTGTAAATGATCCAAATAATATGGAATTTTTCTATTCTCACAAAATTGTATAAAAACATTCAATCATTGAATTAATTGGCAAAATTTTTAAATTCAGTTCATTTCCTATTTGATTTCCATGGAACCTAGCTGGAGAGCTATTGCTGGAAATATATCTAATTATGTTGATGATGATACATTCTTATCTTCAAGAAGTCCTCAGCAGATTGCCAAAGTTCTTAGTCATGCACAATTAACTCCATGTGAATTTGCAACTTTATTCACAAATCTTTCAAACCATCATGGAAAAGCTGAAATATTGATGATGTTAAGTCGTGCGCACCTAAAAGAATTCACAACTCAAGAAGAGGCAGCTGAAATTTCTGAAACAATTTCATCAATCCTCGGAATTCATGTTCTTGATTCACTATTTTCATTCTATCAAAATAGAATTCATGCAAACTCAGCAAATGCCATTTCAATAAAGGATCTTCATGGAAAAGTTACCATTATTGAAAATGTAGATCTCAATTGGAGAACTGAAGATTTGAAAACTGTGATTCAGCAAAAAACAGGCCAGCCTCCAGATCTACAAAGGCTAATTTATGCTGGAATACAATTGGAGGATGGAAAAACATTAAGAGAATATAGTATTCAGCATGGAAGTATGCTTCATCTTATCTTTAGATTACGTGGTGGAAAACCAGTGATCTATTTGTATCCAAAGGAAGAAATAGATGCCAAAGTAAGTATCAAAATCAATGATGGTGTTTTTTCGTTCACATATCCTTCATTTGATGAAGAAAGCACATGGAATGTGAAAGCTTTTCCATCAGGTGAGATCGTCCACAGAGGAAAGAAGATGAGGTATCTCTTCTGGGAAACACTCTTCTATCCTAATCTCAATATGGATAAAGGATTCATTATCAAAGGAGAAGATTGTGTATCTTTCTTCGAGGATAAGCTCAAGTCTATGAACCTGAACGACACAGAGATATGCGATTTTGTCACGTTTTGGTGTCCAAAGCTCTGTGGATACAAATATGTCAAAATTTGCTTCCAGTTCGAAAACTTTGATGAGATGTGCCCAATGAATGTCGAACCAAAACCAGACAACATCAACAGAGTCTTCTTCGCAGCTCTCCCTCTAAATAATCCTTGCGATATCGAGCCACAAGAACTTCCGACATTCAAGCGTGATGGCTTCACAGTCATCGAATGGGGCGGAACAATTGTTACTTCTGAAAATCTATAATGCTTGATATCTTCTTTATGCAGTGAATTAAAATATTTAACATAAACTAGCCAGCTTTTTATTTAGATATAAGACTATCTTCCTATATTTAGAAATGAATTCTTTCAATAAAGAACATGTTATAAAGTATTCTACTGTTTAATCTTCTTCATAATGACTTATATGGAATAATATTCTGAGTTAGTTATATAATTATCTATGCTTCAAAATAGTGAATGAATGCTAATAAAGAACTGATATTTATGAAAGATTCCATAATGAATATCTTGATGAACCTTATTCTTAGCATCCATTTATTCTAAGAACTTGAGAAGCAAACAATTGTGAATTACTCTACCCAGTCATTTACAAAGTTGTTGAAATAATTGACAAAATTAATGATCATTTTGAATTCTTCGTCATTATCATTATCTTCTGTAGCATCTTTCAAATCTTTGATGATACTAGTTTTACCAATAAGATCACAGATGGTTTTTCCTTGATCATATTCAGCGTACTTTTTGATAAGCACATCAAGAACATTCAAAGCATATCGGATGTGATCTGGAATGAAAGAACTGATCACGCTTAGTATATCACGCTCAATTGCTGCCTCTGCTGTATCATACCCGCTGTATTGTATTATATTAGAAATAATTACAATTAAATGTATCTTAAACTCAAATTCGCAACTGTGAGACATTTCAACAAAATCAGTTAAATCCCAGATATCGACAGAATCCAATGCGTCTTTATGTAAAAAATCGTGAGAAATACAAACCTCGAAGAACCGAAGGGCACTCCACTGAGAGTCATCATCACAATCTATGTGCACGATATATCTAAAAGCATTCCAAACCATATTACTTTCATGAATAATTAACAATATATCTTCTTTGATGTCGATGTTGCTCGTTAGAGGAACTATAAAAGCTTCCATTAAACCCATCATGTTCTCAACGTCATCTTTTTCATCACAGCCACGAAAGATATGTGATGCGAGCCTTCTCAAGAAACATGGTTCATCACTTAATTGCAGTTCGATAAGAAAGTTAATCTCTTCTGGATAAACAGGTAGAATGCTTTTCAAAATCATGACTATGTCTTTATAGCAATTAAATTCTGTTTTTTCGTAAATAAATTGAGCTATTGATCTAAATTGATCTTTATTTGGATTAAGTTCTATTAATTTGGTGAATAGTGAAACAACTTCATCTAGTTTGCTAAGAAAACAGAATTAATCGATTGGGTGATCTGTTAAATATACTTCATTGTTTTCAACATGAGGAAGTAATCTTGTGAGGATCCTAATCGCAATATAGTTGTCTTTTTGCAAATCATCTTTTCTTAATGCAATTGTATATAGGAGGTTGATTATATCTTGATCATTAAGAAATTCGATGACTTTGTCTAACTTTGATAGACTATAAATGATTTCGAGAACTTCAGAACGATTAATACATTCTTCTGATTCCAAGATTGCAATCAGGTCCGAAAGCAAATCAAAATTAATATATATTGACGAATCAACGCGGGATTTGTTATTTTGAATCATATCTATTATGCATTTGAAAAAATCATGATGCTTATTAAGTTTTTCAGGATAACAGATTTTTATGTTATTTAGATCTTGTAAAACTTTTGCAGATTCATCGTCAGATGGAATATCATCTTTCTGTGGAGCAGAAAATACAGTTGATGAGAAGGATAAATCATCAGATGATGCTTTATAGTCAAGCATTAAGGGTTCACTACAACGATACAATGTATTCAATTTTTCAATAATTTACAACATATAATTGTTATCGTATTTATTGAAAATCAACTTTTTGGACGTTTCTACTTAATATCATCTATTGAGGATAAAATAAATGCCTTATATAGTAGTATTACTAACGCCTTGCACATTTTCAGACCAAAATTTAGTAAACTCAATGACTTCAGTTTAAATAAAATTTTCAAAAAATTTTAGATAGTTTTTTATTATAGTTTTCGTTTCAATGATCATATAAAGGCGAAACAATATACTCAGGTGCAACTTTTTTGTTCTAATAATTTCTGGCCTCAGGTGGCAACCTTTTTGGCCTGTTGTAGGCCTGGACAAAATCAAAAAAAAATTCGAGGACTTTAGAACGATCAACAAATTCTTCTGATTTCAAGATTTCTATCAAGTCCCAGAGGATATTGGGATTAATATAAGTTGACGAATCAACACAGGATTCGTTATAGTATTTAGAACATATTGGGCAATGGAAAAGAAAAGCATTTTTAATGAGTTCTTCAGGATAAAAGTTTTTTATGTTATTAAGATCCTGTAACGCTGTTGCGAAAGCAACTATAAATGGAATATCATCTTTTTGTGGCGAGCAAAATGCTGATAATGAGAAGGATAAATCATCAGTTGATACTTTATAGTCAAGTATTAATTTGAATAATTTGAAGTTAAAAATTGAGGGTAGTTTTTATTCGAACACGAGCATATCTTGTTACCTTTTGTCCAAATGAGTTAAATAATATATGTTTTTGTAGAATTTATTAAAGAATAATTGGTGAAATATGTTTTCATATTTCAAACGAGTACTGTCTCTTAATAGTACATCGAATAACTTATATAGTTTTAAGAATATATCATGAAGAATCTATTTTTGGTTAAAAAAAATCTTCATGTTTTGGAAATAAAAAGTAGTATAATAGTGTGTAGTAAATTAATATTACAAATCTAAATACTTTATGAATATATAAACTTATGCTTCATCGTCTGAATATTCGGCAATAGTTTGTACAGATTCTTTATGTCTGGACTGAAGTAATTGTCTAGCAAATTCGAAGTGGAAGTTCTTAGAAACAAAGGAGCATTCCTTGAGGCGTTCAAAGGTTTCAGCCTTCTTTTGGATCAAAATTTCTGAAAGTCTATCGCCAATTTTTTCGGAAATTTCTTCAAATCCATCCTCTTCTAGAATCTTTCTAAATTGATTTGTTTGAACATCTCCTGATTTTAACTCTTGATTTAAAATTGCTGCGTTATGTTGAGCGAAGCCATATGCAAGTTTTGCTAATAACTGAGCAGCATCGTCATTAAGTTTCTTTTCTTCTTTAATATACTGAGTTAAGGCAGCAATTCGCTTCGAATCCTCAGACATTTTTTATATTTTTTTTTCTCTAAACGTCATTTTTTTTCTTACCCCCGATTTTGAATTTTTTTTTGTGAAGCCAAGGACCAATTTTCATTGATAAATTATGATCTATTATTTTGAAAATCCATATTTTCACCAAAAAGAAGTCAGAAATTTTGCTTACAATTGCGGAAAATTCACTTTTCGACATGCTCTCGAGTGAAGAAATCGAAAATCTTGAGCATGAGATCACTAAATTCTATGGTGGCTCGATGTCATTAGACGAGTTTACTCAATGGTACATCAATGAGGACTCTTTTCCAAAGCTAAAATCGATTTTATTTTATCCAAATTCAAGTCGAAACGCAATCCACTTTGCATTATGTGGTATCACAAACTTGATCGATTCTCTATTCACGCAGTGGACAACCGAGAACTTTTTGCAGCTTTCTAATGAATTTTTAGCTTTATTATACAATGAAATCGCTAGATTTGACGATGATAATTCATTTGTTTGTCTCGCATACTGCAGAATGTATGCTACAATGACAATGTATGGCTGGAATACGTCTCCTGATTTCGCAAAAGAAATAAATGATCTCGAAAAGTTCTTTAACTCTAGTTTTCATCATTACAAAGTTGGCATCATTCTTTGCAGAGAGATCTCAAAGAAAATGGATCAATTACGACATCTTTCTACCATTCAAATGACAGAATTCAGAAATGAAACAATGTCAACATTCTTAAGCTATGCATTTAATACATTAAATAATATAAGTAGCGGAGGCTTTGGCACTCGCTTTTCACAGCCAGAACTCCATATTTTGCAGCTAGAAAGTCTTCAATTATTAATTGCCTTATTTGAGTTCAATTTCAACATGAAAATCACTACAGAGAACGAGAATTCGAAAGCCGATCAAATGAAAGTCGAAATACCTCAAAAATGGATTACTACAATTCCATTCGATCAATTGGTCACATTAGTTTACAATCTTTATTCAGATAACGACGAATTAATGCAGAAACAATCCCTCGATGTTATATTCCTACTTGCGGCCATCCAAAAGCGAAGTTTGTCGACAGAAAACATAAATTTCAATAAAAACATCAGAAGTCAGATTTTTGCATCGTCAGTTATCCAAACCAACCCTATATCATCATTTTTCGGGGTTCTGATATCAGGAATCTCAGAAGTAATTGAAAATGAGATACATTTGGACATGTTATCAAATGTTCAAGCAATATGTGCCATTTTCGCAAGGATTCGTAACTCAATAGACTCAAAGTTCCTCGTAGAGCTCGATTTCCCTCGTTTCGTAAGAGCTGCGACGAAATTAACTTATGGAATTTTCTCAACTTCCTTTTTAGCCGAAAATCCATGGACAATATTGGACATAATGAAGTTCTGGAAGCAGCTTGCCCCTATAGCTCTCTTCAACGACCGAGATGAAGAGACAGGAACCGTTGTCCAGCCAAATATCGAATACGCAGCGGTTATTAAGGAAATTTACGGTAATTACATATCGTTAATTCTCACTTTTATTAACGAAAACCCGACCAAAGCCATTGAAATCATATTTGCCGAGTTTAATGAGATAACCAAGCTTATTGAGATCACTCACAACATAGCAATGATCGATATGGAATGCCTCAACCAGATTTTGCAGGCTTTCAACGCTGAAAGTGAGTTATATTTCTCATCTCAATCAGATCCATCGTTAAATCTCATTGAAATCCGCATGATCTTCTTCGCTTTGACCATGGTATCATTTTTGGCATCGCAAAGAATGAATCAATCCATTCCAAATGGAAATTTAATGGATATATTTTTAAATTATACTTCGGCTTTACTCAAATTCATAACAAATACGGGTAATTTGGTCGATAAACAGAAGGGTGGTTCACTTGTCGTTGAAGCTGCTGTACTCCTTATAACAAATGTGTTATCTAACACTCTTATCATCAAATCCGCGTATAATTCACCGGATATTCCTGATTTCATCAAGGAAAACAATGGTTTTACATGCGTACAAGAGGTAGTTGCCCTGATATTAAGAAGAATTTTCTTATCTACGAATTATTTCGCCGAACATAAGGAAATAATCAGTTTGGCAACGGCCAGTCTTGAGAAATACATCACTTGCAAAGAGAGACAGTTCATAGATGAGGCTGTAAGTGTTGTTTTTCTCGATGAATTCATGAATTTCGAAACCGAGTCACAGTTCCAGTTCCTTTTCATGCCGGATAATGCAGAGTCAAGGGTAAAGTTCTACAGTATCATTTCCAGCATCATGATTCGAATGTGGAAAACATCTGATAAATTTAGAACGGTCGTACAAAGAGTTGTTGAACGTATTGAGTCGTACAATAAATCGTTCAATGAGGATTCGTATATTCTAGACCTCTTGGCCCTAAACGGCTTCTTTAAAGGTTCATATTCGAACGACCACTATCTTAGTATGGTCGAATTCTTCTACCCCGCATCAATAGAGAATATGATAAACCATATCCCAGAAGCCCCGGCCGCAATTCCGCATTTAATGGATTTCCTCGAAGAATTTGTTTTCAACAGAGCCGAAAGAATCAAATTCCCGAAGCATTCCGCTCAAGGACTTTTGATTTTTAAGACGGTTGCTGTTGCTTTAACGAATTTCTTCAACATTATCGATGTTCCCAACTTTGAGAACCTCGAAAACTCAATTGCAACCTCTATGTCGATCATGACTAAGATTTTATCCAATCCTGAATCGAATATTGGAGCAATTGAGACTTACGAAGACCCGACATTAACAAATCTTTTTGTCGCGTACTTCGATATGTGCGAAAGGGTAAATTACGAGGTATTTACCACTTACCCACCTATTCTCAATAAGATGCTTGAACTTATCGAGACAATTTTCAATGAATTTTCCGATTACATAATTCAGAACAAACCGTCGTTTATCGTCGCATCATTGAAAATTGCACAGAAAGGACTTGACCAGACAATCAGTATGAAAGACATTATAGAGACTCCTCTTGCTGCCGTTAAGAGTATCGGCGTGTTTTCTCTAAATAACATGGAAGTTCCTGAGTTCCAACCTTTGTTTGAAGAAATGAAACCAAGTTTCGAGTTTATCTTAGTTCTGTTAGAGAAAGAACTCTTGAAACTAAGCTATAGAAACGTTATTGGTGCTTTGGAGATCATTGTAAAGCTTAATTTGGATAATTGGCCTCTTGTCAGAACTCGACTCAGATTATTCTTCGACACTTTGAGTATTAGCGACCAGAAGGATGCTCTAAGTGTTATATTGGGAGAAACAGAAGAAGAAGTCGCCCAAGAAGAAAATTAATATATAATAAAGTGTGTTTTTAATTTTGTATTTTTTAAATTTACTTCATCTGTGTTTTTTAAACGAATTCTACCAATAAATATATTCGATTAAGCTAAGAATACATTATTTGAATAGAACAAGACATGATATTTTTTAAATTTACTTCATCTGTATTTTTTAGACTAATTTTACCGATAAATCTATTAGATTAGGCTAAAGATACATTATTTGAATAGATTTATGCATTAGAGTTTTTGAAATTTGTTTTCGAAATTTGCACTACAATTAAAGCAATGACTGTTCTTATATTGATTTTCATTAACTTACATGTAGCAATAAATTTTATCCTATTAAAAAGTATTTTTATGCTACATTTGATAATTTTTTGACAATTTTTATGTTAAAATGTAACATTTAGATAGGATTTCAAACAAATTAATAATAAGTTAACGAAATAAAAAACAGGATTTAGTTGCAAATAAAAAATAAAAAACAAAATTAAAATAATTATGACTTTTGCTTCATTTGATTAATGAGTTTCTTAGCTTCTTCAATAACTTGATGGAAGCTGTTGACAGATGCATTCAAATAGCTAATATGCGTGTGTAAATCGATGGGTCTATTAATTTCTTCATCTGGATCGAATAATTCGAAATTAAAGTCAAGTTTAAGGTCTTCTGTTTTTGATGGCATAAGTTTTTCGTTGATTGTGTAGAAAGATCCTGGATCAATTGGAGATTGGAAGCCAATTTTGTTTCCAATCCTGCATACATTCCTAGAACCAGGTAAATGCAACAATACTGCTCCGAAAAGTAAGATATACTTAATAAATAAAATTTCTTCTTCATCGGGATTGGAGTTCTTGAAAAATAGCTCTTGAAGTATTGCTATAATTTCTGACTGTATCGGGGAATGAACAAATGAGTTGGACATGCAAATCACAAATTCAGAAATGAGAGAATGAGATGAAACAGGGAGCATAAGCAAAAACATGTATAACTGCTGGCATACTTTGAACTGGTTATCGTTTTTAACTATTGATTTAGCAAAACCGATCATATCTGGAGGAATTAGTGGTTCTTCAAATTGAGCAAGGATAACGAAGAGTAATGTTATTTGCTGATTGAATGGTATCTCACCAATACCTGAATTTAATTCATATTTTTTAAAAACAGCTTCTAATTCTTCTTGAGTAAAATTGACAAGAGAAAAGTCGCCAAATTGGCTTTTAAGTGTAGTAAATAAGATTCTTATCTGGAACTGCATAATTGTTTTCGATAGCGAAACAAAAGGAAATGAGCTTAATCCACTCGGTTCAATAAAATTCAAAGTTGGGAACACCAATTCCCTTCCTCTGAATTGCAATGGCTTCAGGATTAATTTTGTAAGTTTTGTGGGTGAATGCATTGCTTCGATAGTATAACTTTTCGGATTCATGAATAAATATTGTTCATTATCAGAAAGGTTAAAGATTTGCAAGCATATTTCCATTATGCTCGAGAGTGGCTTAAATTTATCGTATGCTATAGATGCCTTTTGCATTTTGTAGTAAACTTCAATTGGCTCGGTTTCTAATTGAAGGAGTTGGAAGGATGTCGCGTTAGAAAATCCGATATCAAAGCATACTGAATCACGTGGTATTTGAATAAAATCATTTGCAAGCATAAATAAATTCCATAATTCTGGATCCGGAATATTCATGCTTTTTAGAATCGAATCAATAACAGATTTAACTTGTGTACCAGGTTCTGCATCCCAGATGATTTGCTTTGAAAGTTTGGGTATTGTAATATGCAAGTTTATCATAAAAGGGCAACTCATCTCAGAAATTTTACACAAAAAGTGACATAATTTTATTGCAATTGAAAAGAAATCTCCTCAATGCTGATGTATTTGATCATTACATTAGCTGTGCGTTTGAAATGTTGTCAGTAATTTTAATTCTGCATTTTACCTGCAATTCATGGATTTCGTTTTTTGTTATTTCCTATTACCATTAAGGAATATGAAAACCACATACGCATTAAATATGAAAAATGAAGGGATAATCATTGTATCTTGAAATTTCAAAATCTGCCTCGGACAATTAAAATTTAAAGTGTTATAAGTATTGAAATCGAGATATACACTCTTAGTAGCTTATATTTTTCTAAAAATATTGTTTTTATGTACAGAAATGAATTTTTCAATATTCAAAATACTGCTACCATTACGAAATTAAGTAGTTGATAGGTAATAGCTGGATGAGAAATGGCTTTGGATTCGTAATTGGATCATTTGTAAATAAATAATTTAAAAATAAAAGTAAGTTTAAAAAATACAATAATATTTGCTAATAAACAATATTAACTCGAGAACATTATGAGAATTCTGAAGTTAATGGTCAATATAAATCTCAAAATTAAAATTCAAATCTAATTCATTTGCAACTGGCTGGAACAAACACGTATATCTAGTATACATAAGCATGGAATAGAAAATCTTGAGGATTTTTCACTCTACGTAGTCAAAATCTTCAGGAATTTGAAAACTATCATTGAAAGCTTTTCCTTCAATGTTGTATGTTTTCGTGGCCCAACTCTTAAGAACAAAAATGTTATCAGTCCATCTATTTGCAGCATCTTTTGCTAGTTGGATCTGTTCTTGCGTCTTTTTGATTTGAGCAGGATCAAATTGTTCGTACTTACTGCACTCCTTTTGTATTTCCGATAATTGTTGAGAAAATGTAGATATTTCAGAATCTAATTTTGTTCTTTCTTCGCATGGTTCTCTTCCTGGTTCCAATTCTTGTATTTCTTTTTGCAGCTGTTGAATTTCCTGTTCAACTTCAGAAATGGATGCATTTAATTTATTTTCACGAACTTTTCTTTTATTGAATGCTTCTGATGGAAAACACCAATAAAAATTGCCACTTCCGATCTTTTCAAACGAAACCAAATCATTATCACACAGTTCTTGCAATACTTCTTTGACACTCATCGCTGTAATTCCTTTTTTCTTTGGACAATCACGCTCAAGATCTTTTAAAGTCCAAATATCAGCGCTCTCCATCATAAGCTCTTGCATTGCCATGAGCTTTTCTTCTCTAGACATACCTTTCTTTCTCGACATCTTAATTATTTGACAAAATTGATTTTACAAAAAATTTACATGTTAGAAATAATTTTCATAATATGAGATGATCATGCAATCTAGAGTTTCTTAGGATCGCATACAGTTTGATATATATGATACAATAACAGGTATATTATGAAAATTAAAAATGAGCATCGATTTCATACAAATGAAATAGAAAGGAACTTCCTTTTGTCACTTTTATTTTTATTTCATTATGGCGGAAGAAGCGAAATTTCGAACAGCAACAATCAAAGCAATTATTGAATCAGCATTAGCAGATCAAAATGATGACCAAAAACTAAGAATTCCGCCAACAACTGTTGAGCTTATTGCAGAATATTTAAGATGTGTAGTTGTAGAAGCAACAGAAAGAGCAGCGGATGTAGCAGGAGATGAAAAGGTAATAGACGAATCTCATTTAGAGAAAATTTTACCACAATTACTTCTTGATATTGCTTGATTTCGTTATTCGATATTTAACTATATTATTGTTTATACTTCTTGTCGATTTGTATTTTGTAAATATTATTTTTTTATTTATGCAAAAAGAAAATAATTTTTTCAATATAATAATCCATATAAAAAGCTTTATTTCTCTCTGAAACAATAATATCATCACATATGTGATTGCATTAAACTTAAATATATTCATGAAATCTGAGATCTAATCATTGAAATATTTGAACATCTAAATTTGTTTGTGTTTTCACAATATTGTAATTATTAGAATATAATTAGTCATGTTATCAATTGAATTGGCCGAATTACAATTTTTTGAAAAGTTTACATAATCATTTTACAACACCTTTAGTTAAAATATTTGTGCATGTTTAGTGTAATGTTTCTAAGTTATTAAATATCAACAAAAATCATGGAGCAATAATAAGTTTTGTCAAATTTTTATTTTTATATTTTTCATTGATGAATCAAAGTGTCATTCATTTATCATATGACGAATTGATGGGAATATCGAAAGATTATATTGATACTGTTAACTCTGTTTATCAACTTCATATAGGGTGTCCAAAGGTGTGTTTAGCACAAACCTGAATACTGCGAATAGAAATAAACAAGTTACATATATATAAAGTTTATTTAAATATAATCACCATTGGATTCAATCACGCGTTCGCAGCGATCGATCCAGGCTTGAAAGACACGCTTTAAATCATCATGAGAAAATTGCTCAAATTGCTCTCTTACAAAATTTTCAAGATCATCTGGACTCGCGAATTCGCGTCCTTCAGCTCTCTTTTTTAGCGTGCCGAATAAATAAAAGTCAGAGGGTGCAATATCAGGTGAATAAATTGGGTTTGGAACAACTTTGACATTGTTTTCCACCAAGTAATTCATTACCTTATGACTTTTGTGAACTCTTGAATTATCAAAATGAATTGCAAACTTTTGTTTTTGTTGTTTGGATTTCTCAAACTCATCAGAATTGATAATTTGAGTAAGAACATTGTCAATTAGATACTGAGCATTCATCATATTAGGTTTTTGAAGAATATCAATTGCGATGATGCCATTCACGCCCAAAAACCGACAACATCATCATTGGTGTGTCAATTTTTTTCTTCGGGAATGTTTGCGGATTTTCATCCTTCGGGATCCACATGATTTTGGCTTCTGTTGCATATTGAAACCAAGACTCGTCCCCTGTTACTAAAAAGCGAAACTTCTTGGATTGATACGCACCCAATATAGAGAGGAGCTCTTTCGAAGATTGGACTCTAGATTTTTTTTGAACTGAATTAAGGTTGTGCGGAACCCAACGTGTATACGCTAGTTTGTAGTTCAAATAATTGTGCAGATAATAACTGACTGTTGTACGTGGTATCTTTGTCATCTCCTCTATCCTTCTGAGTGATGCTCTTGGGTCTTCATCTAGCGCTTGAAGAATTGCTTTGATTTTTCTTTAATCCGGCGATTTTTTGTCAATTTTTATGATGGGCGCTTTTTTGTTCATGAAGTGATACATCCTAACATGATACGTTACAGTGGAATAGCTAGGAGCATCCATACCGAAGCATTTTACCAATGTCTCGTAGATTTTTTTACAGTCTTTGCATTTTTTTGCAAGAGCGAGGATGTTTTCTTTATGATTCATTAAAAAAATGAAAAAAATCCCGCCAAAATTTCCCGCGAAACCGCCTCTTGTCTCAAAATTCATTTTATATCCCGGCATGGCGCCAAAATACAACATACTCATCATATACATATATTCATATTTTTTATTATATATTTATAATCAGCATATATCTCCTTTAATAGTCTCATATAGAGCGCTGTGCTAAACGCACCTTTGGACACCCTATATTAAAAATAATAATAAACAAACAGCTCTTCATCAAGCAGTCTATGAATATGCAAAAGAATCAGCAGAATTTCTTATTTCCCACAATATTGATATAAATATAAGGAATAGTCAAGGAATGACCCCTCTTTGTTATGCTCTCTCTTACAATCGAATAGAATTAGCAGAAATTCTTCTTTCGCATCATGCAGATATTGAAGCATTTGATGATTCTGGACTGACAGCACTGCATTATGCGTCAAAAAATAATTTTATAGATGGAGTTGAAATCCTTTTATCTAATGGTGCAAATATAAATGCAAAAAATCCGTATAATGGAAAAACAGCACTTCATTATGCAGCAAAACATAACAGAATTGAAACAGCAGATATTCTCATTTCTAATGGAATTGATATTAATGCTGAGAATAAAAATGAAGAAACTGCACTTCAGGTTGCATTTAATCATAAAAATGGAGAAATAATTTTGTTACTTATTTTAGCTGGAGCCGAATTTGATGAACAGAATTTTCCTCAAAGGTCGTCATGTTGTTATGATTTTTTTATGTCATCTTACTCAAAAGCTGAAGAATTTCAGAAATATATTGATATCACAAACTTCATAATATCGAATGACTTCGATTTAAATGCAAAATATTGTAATGGAAAAACTCTTCTTCATGATGCAGTTAAAAATAATAGATTGAACTTTGCACAATATCTTATTGCATATGGTTCTAATATCAATTCAAAAGATAATGATGGCACAACTGCTCTTCATATCGCAACGAAGAATGGTTTAAAAGAAATGTTAGAGATTCTTATTTCATATGATGCAGATATCAATGCAAAAACTAATGATGGCGCAACTACTCTTCATATCGCAACGAAGAACGGTTTAAAAGAAATATTAGAGATTCTTATTTCAAATGGTGCAGATATCACTGCAAAAGATAGATATTTAAAGACTGCACTCCATTATGCAGTGTTGAACATTGATCAAGAAATAGTTGAAATTCTTATTTTGCATGGAATTGATCTTAATTCAAAAGATAATAATGGAGAAACTGCTCTTCATTACGCAGCAAGTCATAGTTTTCAAGAAATGGCAGTAATCCTCATTATGCATGGAATAGAAATCGATTCAAAAAATAATTCTGGTATGACAGCGCTTCATTATGCAGCTAATAATAATCAAAAAGGAATTATAGAAACACTTATTTCACATGGGGCAGACATCAATATGAAAGATAATTATGGATGTACTGCACTTCATAATGCATCAACTGGAAATAATAAAGAAACTATTGAGATTCTTATTTCACATGGTGCAAATATCAATATAAAAAATAATAATGGACAAACTCCACTTTATTATGCAACCACCAATAATCAAAAAGTAATTATAGAAACTCTTGTTTTACTTGGTGCAGATATCAATGCAAGAGATGATTGTGGAAGAACTTTACTTCATCATGCTGTACAATTCAATCAAAAAGAAATCATCGAAACATTGATTTCACTAGGTCTGGATATCAATGCTAATGATAATAATGGAGAAACTGCACTTCATAAAGCATCAACTGGAAATAACAAAGAAACTATTGAGATTCTTATTTCACATGGTGCAAATATCAATGCAAAAGATGATAATGGAGAAAGTGTGCTTCATAAAGCAGCATATTTTAATAGCATAGAAATCATGGAAACTTGCATTTCACTTGGTGCAAATATTAATGAAAGAGATAATTATGGATATACCCCACGTCATGATGCAGCAAAAAGAGGAAACAAAGAAATTGTGGAATTTCTTATTTCGCAAGGTGTTAATATAAGCATAACAAACAACTCTGAAAAAACTGCCCTTAATTTGGCAGAAAGAAATAAATGTACAGAAATAGTTGAACTTCTTTCTTCATATGGAAAACATGTAGAATCAAAATGCCAATTTGAAAAAATTGTTCATAAATCTCAAAGATGCTACAATAAAGTAATGATGCAATTTTTAAGCTCGCATTGGGATGAAATCAAATCAAACGATAAATATGATTTCCATGAATTGATAGAATATCTCGATTCAAATAAAATGGATAAAAATATTGTTGCTGGCTTTTTAAAGCAACTCATTGTTCAACTTGAATCAAATACTCGTCATAAATGAATATCGTTTTGTTCTTTTTCAATACTAAAGCAATAAAAATATATCATTAATCATCAAAAAAAATATATGAATGAGTCAAACTATATAATATGATGTATCAATTCAAATGTTGATAAAAGTTTTAATATAATCAATAAATTTAATCATGTGGTATTAGAATTTAAATTACTGGCTCAATTATCTTACCATCATTTAATTCAAAACAATGATTTTCACATTCTTTTTGAAAAAAAAAGATTGAAAGTGATAATTCGATAGGGAATTATTTATTTTATTGAAAAAATGAGTATATAATGATATTTTGAGCTCTAATTCTTTCCCATAAATTTACCATTAAATGTAAAAGGATGAGATGAAAAGAATAGCTCATGTGAAAAAGCATAACACAGACTTTTTAATACGCTCCAATTAAAAGAACTAAAAGGTCAAAATATCACATCAGAATTTTTTTGGTCGCGAAAAAGTAATCATAAATCATCATATAGTACCTAATATGGCTGTTATTCTTTCCTGCTATGAAAATAAAGATATATTGATTTTTTATGATTGTGTCAGAATAAAATAAACAAAAATAAACAATTCTTTACTAATACATCTAGTCAACTAATTTGTAAAACAAAATATAAGCGTTAGCTGAATGCAAATCTGATAATTGGCATTCAGTAACAATTTTGTCATTAAACAAGTATGCCGTTCCATCTATTTTTACACCTGCTGTGTAGTGGCCACCACTCATTGAACCTCCATGGTTAACAACACCAAATAATTCATAATTTCTTTTCTTTGTATTCGAAATCATAAATTTACTGAGTTCAATGGTATCAGGGAATGTTACTTCTCGTGTGTCTTTCTCATAAGCATTTTTCTGAATACTAAAACCCCATCTTGATAAGTAAAATGCTAAAATCTTAGGTGATTGGTATATAAAAGAGTTTCTAGTAGCTTGAACTTGCCTGCAGCAATTCGGACAGTCCCATAAATTCTTATCATCTAATAATACTGTTGTTGAGTACAATTTCAGGCAGTTTTCTAATGTTAAGGCCATTTCTTCATGCTTGAAATTACTGAGATCTTGATCTGTAGGGTATATATTTGGATAAATTTTTATAATTATTTTATTTAATTTCGAAAAATTCGGAATTGTAACATTCTCTACTCCTAAAATTGTTTTAAGTTGGTTTTTAATTGATTCTTGGACATTAGGTGGAAGATCCCGTGAATTTTCCATTATTTGGTTAGGATCATAAAACAAAACTATTGGATCCAAGCCATCTATCTCAGCAATTGTAATATTGTACTTAGGTTCGATATTTGATACGTCATAAATGTAAATAAAATCTCTATTATTCAATTTTTCTCGTGGTAAATTAGATTGAGTAATTAATTCATATTGGTGGTATTTTCTGTTCCTGTCTGAAAGTTCCTTGATACCTACCAATTGGTATCTATCAAGATCTGGGAAATTGAAACTCGATTTCAAATCTTTAAGAAGAGATTTTACCGTGAAATCCTTTCCTGGTTGTTTCTGAAGGTAATAGATCTCTTTCTTTTTCATTCCTATTGAATAAAAAACTACTTCCATTTTTAATTCAGAACTTGGCAAACGTAAAGGCAACAACGAGAAAGAAGCATAATTTTCTGTTACATGGTTGCATTTTGGACATGTTGTTTTATTATTTAATAATCCATAAAAAATATCTCCAAGGAATGAGTTATCAATTTCCTTTTCTACTATTTCCTTTGCTTTATCTGGTAACTCTTTATCTCCAATTGGCTCCCTCTGATCCTTCGGTCTCATGATTGCAGCTGAAATCATCGACAAAAGGGAAGTAAAGAACTCTCCCGCGTCTTGTTGTGTTGTATCTTTAAAAGCATGGTTTGCATTACTAAGAGATTCTTTGAATTCTTTCATTGGAATAAAAGAATTTCGATTATTTATCATCATTTTCAGAATTTTAATGAATTCTTGGGTTAACTTTACATATTCTTCCTTGCCATTCATGTATTTGTTTATATCGTTTGATAAGAAGTAATCTGTGATCAATTTGCAATGAGATAAACATTGAATTATGGCATTTATGTAACAAGTTTGTCCAACGTTTTCTAAGCCGCAAATTCCACGAGAAATAACTGCTAGGAATACATGGTATGGTTTTTCGGATAGTAGTAGGTCTATTGAGTAGTTTGAAGTTAAATCTTTTAGTTTTTGTTCTTCATTAGATAATAAAGTTGGAAAATTCTTTAAACTGAAGTTGTAGAGATGGTAATTGTTATTATTGATGTTGAAGCACTTTTTGGATTGCTCTAAAACTTGTTTTATTGTATTTTCTTCGCTTAATATTAAAGTTGCAAAAGTTTGAGAATAATAGATTGATATTTCTTTGGGGTGAATGCATGGAACATATTCTGAAAGTTCTGAGTTGTAAAATACTGGAATTTCAACTTCTTTAGAAAATTTGTAAGTATTTTTTATTTTATTCCAAGCTTTTTGCGGAACAATTACGTAATCGTATTTTGGTGTTAATCTAGGATCGATTCTCCAATTTGAATCTGTAATATCATTGATGATTTTCTTGGAAAAATTGTTATCCTTTGTTTTTGCAGCTATTGCAAACGCATTATACCACTTGGATGTAATAGCGTAAGCTTTGTCACCATCACTGTATTTGTAATTCTGTATTATGTTATCTATCTGTTCAAAAAATTTGGCTACATTCACATTCATCAAAAAAATGCCAAAAATTTTAGACGACTCATTAAAAGATATGATCTAAATAACAAAAGTAAAATTATTTTTGTTTTTACTATAACCAATTTTCTAAATTGTTGGTTTTTTCATAAAAAATCCATAAAATAACAAAATAACACACCTTAACAAGATTTCGTGATCTATCAAGTTCCAGCAAATGTAAATCGCCATTTCAATAAAATGAAATTAACAAGTTATCTTGCTTCATTTGTACCAAGACCCACAAATACATTGCCTTAGGGCATAATTCTGCCCCATTCGAGTAAACTTCCATTCACTGGTCTGCAAAGAGCCTTGTATTACAAGTATATTGCCTTAGAGCAGAATTTTCCCGAATTCTCTCATCGAATGAGTGATTTCGGGAAAACTCTGCTCTACATGATCAATCACAACTCACTTGGCCATTTATAGACTAAGCGACAATAATTGAGGCGAATTCTTTTTTTTTTATCATCATCATTTATTGCATATATATAATGTACATCTTTATATTATTTCTCCATCTAAGAAAAATTCCTTAATATTGCATCTAAATAGTAATTCACCAATTTAATCCTTAATACCCTCAGATCAATATATTAAGTATAGCAAAATCTCAATATCTAACAAAAATACTATTTAATACATTGCCTTAGGGTGCTTAACAGAAAAAAAGTTTTTACTATTATTTAATACAAAATTTTCAAAAATACTCGTTTTTACTATACCAATATATGCCTCATATATTGCTCTACATATCTTCCATTCAATAATTGAACAATTCATATTCTCCCCATATCAAGTTCTTAAGAAAATGTGAAAATTCCAGGAAGACTATATATAGATGTACTTTTAATTTTAATGTTCTAAAGAAAAATTATCTTGTCTCATATTCAAATCTTATTATTTATATATAACGTGGGTGAGTTTTCATGCAGCCATATTTCTAATGAAATTCATCTTTAAAAATATCAGAAAAATAAAGAATAGTATCTTATAGGAATATTATGTTTTGCACCATGTGAAATAAGAAGTTCGGCTGTTTCTTTACTACTATATTTTGCTGCAATATGAATAGCTGTTTCTCCGTCATAATCTTTTTCGTTGATATTTATACCATGTGAAATAAGAAGTTCGGCTGTTTCTTTACTATTATACCATGCTGCATAATGAAGAGCGGTTTTTCCATAATTATCTTTTTCGTTGATATTTATACCATGTGAAATAAGAAGTTCGGCTGTTTCTTTACTATTATACCATGCTGCATAATGAAGAGTGGTTTTTCCATAATTATCTTTTTCGTTGATTTTTACACCATGTGAAATAAGAATTTCGGTTGTTTCTTTACTATTTTGTTCTGCTGCCAAATGAAGAGCGGTTTCTCCATATTTATTTTTTTCATTGATATTTATACCATGTGAAATAAGAAGTTCGGCTGTTTCTTCATTATTATAATATGCTGCTTTATGAAGAGCGGTTTCTTCATATTTATCTTTTGCATTGATATTTGCGCTATTTGATAGGAAATATTCGCAAAGAGATGGAATATTAAACTTTGCAGAAATATTAAAGCATTTGTTAACATCATTAGTTTGATCGAAATAAACTAAAAATGATTCAAGATTACGATACAACACACAAACATCTAAATCAATCTTTAGATTATACTCATTCATCAAGAATGTAACAAAATCAATGTTATGTGAAATAATTGCATATTCCATGCATGCTCCATCTGGTTTTTGATATTTCAAACATTCACTCATGATCTCTTGATTTCCTCCTAAAAATGAAAGTTGTAGACATTTTTCAGTTATTTCTGACTTAAATTTCGATATTAATAACTTGAAACAATCAACAGCTCCATGGTAGCAGCATAATTCAAGTAATGAATATACTTCGAAAGAATCTGGATATAGAATGCTGTCAAGTGTTTGATCTTTATCAAATCCATCTCTTTCGGTGAATGCGATGAATGTTTCTAAGTCATCATACATAATTGTTCTGTAAATTGTATCATCTGTATGAAGATCGAGATTTTCAAATTTCAATTTTTCGAAATCATCGGATTTGTCTAATTTAATTTCATATTCTTTATAGAACAAGAAGTTGGAAATACATTTAATATTTATGACCTCTTGGACATGATAATCATCAGATATGAGTTTGGCAAGAAATAAATATGACTTTGTATAGCGATTATTATACGGAATGATATTTAAAATGTCTCGCATAATCATTTTGGGAGGATATTTTTTTGAATCAATCAATTCTGTTTTGATCAGTTTGTAAATTGAGTTTAATCCTTCTTCTTTTTCTGTTTTTAGCCGATACAACGCAATATATGAATCGATATAGCATTCATAGATACTTCTTAGTTCGCTAAATTTATTTGGATGAATGTCTTGTTCTGACATGAATAATTTTTTAAAAGGACACATTATCATTTTAACATATAAGTATCTTTTAAACTTATATTGTATTAGGCATGTGGAAATCAATGATCACAAAGATTTCAGAAATGATAAATAGTTTACATATCTATTAATCTTTGATATAGCAGATTTATTGATATTTTGTTAAATATTTCATATTAAAAAGAGCCTTATAGACTAATTCCATGAATAGAAAATTGCTAAAAAAAGCATTAAAAAATAGAATCAGAATCAAGAATAACCTCGGAAAAGCAAAATTTTCTAATCAATTCTAAAGAAACTAATGACAAAATATCTAATTTCAAATTTTTATAGATGAAGTTTTTAAAAATGGATGAGAAAATTATTACACCAAAAAATAATTCTTTAGCGTTCAAATCAAATAACTGCTTAAGCGGCGGCTTCACCTTCCTCATCTTCTTCGCCTTCGCCCTGTTCTTCGACGCCGGCTGTTTCGTACATTTCGTACTCCTGGATGAGATCTGTCATGTTGGAGCGAGCTTCATCGAATTCGACTGTTTCGAGGCCTTCGTTGACGTACCAGTGGATGAAAGCACGGCGAGCGTACATCTTCTGGAACTGGGAGTCGACACGTGTGAAGAGTTCACGGAAGGCTGTTGTGTTGCCGATGAATGTAGCAGCCATCTTAAGACCACGTGGTGGGATATCGCAGATAGCGGACTTGACGTTGGATGGGATCCACTCGACGAAGTAGGATGTGTTACGAGCCTGGATGTTAAGCATCTGCTCATCGACTTCCTTAGATGACATACGGCCACGGAAGTGAGCGGAGGCTGTAAGGTAGACACCACGGCGTGGATCGCAAGCAGCCATCATGTTCTTGTTATCGAAGAGCTGGGATGTGAGCTCTGGGACTGTAAGAGCGCGGTACTGCTGGGAACCACGGGATGTGAGTGGAGCGAAGCCAACGATGAAGAAGTGGAGACGTGGGAATGGAACAAGGTTGACAGCGAGCTTACGAAGGTCGGAGTTGAGCTGACCTGGGAAGCGGAGAGCGCATGTTGTGCCGGACATAACCATGGAAACAAGGTGGTTAAGATCGCCGTATGTTGGTGTTGTGAGCTTGAGTGTACGGAAGCAGATATCGTAAAGAGCTTCGTTATCAATGCAGAAAACTTCATCAGCAGACTCGACGAGCTGGTGGACGGAGAGTGTGCAGTTGTATGGCTCGACGACTGTATCAGAAACCTTTGGAGATGGGACGATGGAGTATGTGGAGAGGATACGATCTGGATACTCTTCACGGAGCTTGTTGAGAAGGAGTGTGCCGAGACCAGCGCCTGTGCCACCACCGAGGGAGTGGACGAGCTGGAAGCCCTGAAGGCAGTCGCAGGATTCAGCCTCTTTACGGATAACATCGAGGATGGATTCGCAAAGTTCCTGGCCTTCTGTGTAGTAGCCCTTAGCCCAGTTGTTACCAGCACCGGACTGGCCGAAGACGAAGTTATCTGGGCGGAAAAGCTGACCGAACTGGCCGGCACGGACGGAGTCCATTGTGCCTGGTTCAAGGTCGACAAGGATAGCACGTGGGACGTACTTGCCGCCTGTAGCTTCGTTGTAGTAAACGTTGATGCGCTCGAGCTGAAGATCTGAGTCGCCATGGTATGAACCTGTTGGGTCGATGCCGTGTTCGTCGGAGATGACTTCCCAGAACTTAGCACCGATTTGGTTACCGCACTGTCCAGCTTGGATGTGAACGATTTCACGAACCATGTGTAATTATGATTAAAAACGAATTATTCGGTTTATTTCAATTTATTCAGCCCGGGCGTTTATATTTTTTGAGCCTTTTTATTTGTTGATTTTTTACTTATATAATTGATACTAGCTATTTTTATTTTTGTGAAATTAGGAATTGAAATGGATGTGAAGTGATTAATAACGAGATTTTTGAATCAAACCGAATGTCATATTTATCCCGTCCAAATAAAAATATTTGTATAACAAAGAAGCGTAATTATTATTGATTTTTGGCCTCAGTACTCAAAACAAAAATTAATTGAAAGTGAATTAACAATGAATTAAATATTAGCAAAATGATTGTTAAATTAAATTTAAAGGGAGAACAAAAAAAAGAGGTAGGGCAACGATAGGTCAAAAAGGCTTCTCTGATAGATTTCCTTGCCTTTTGGATATGCTATAATATATAGCCTAGCATGATAGGATATGATGTCAAAAGTTAGAACATAACTTAGGATCTTGAGAAAAATGAAAAACAAAAATTACATAAAAAAGAAAAATTTTATCTAATTTGTTTTTTTGGACTGAATAAGTAATTTTATTGAATTTCAATACGACAGATAGATTTTATTATTAGTAATAAATATAATGGTTTACTATTAACAAGGAACCTAAACTAATGAAAATTTGATTTCAAATATTGTATATGATTATCATAGATTACCAAAATATATTGCTATTTATGAGGATATAATATTGATTATTAGTAAATCGTATAAATTTAATAAATATACCATGAATATTGAATGAATTTCTTGATTCATAGGGGTAAAACGCGCTTTTATATGATTTAGACAGAGAATTTATGAGATGTAAATAACACAATAAAGGTTTATATTGAATATTTTCTAAAAATAAATCGAAATTATAAAAAACAATACATTTATTCATTGAAACTACTTGGACAAATATGAAACAAGCATTCAGGCAATACTTTTGAGACTTCAACGCATCTGATAATTTTTATATAACTTCACCTCTTATGCTTAGAGTGGAGGTATTGAGATCGTATAAGTATAGATGAGCTCACATTCAGATATGATGTGTGAACTTCTGTTTTCACTGCAATTTTGAATCAGAATAAACTCAAAACAAGAATAAAATGATATACTCACTCTCTAAATGTGTTCGAGATTTAAAGTTGTATGAATAAAATGATTCATCTTTCGAAGCCTCCCATTTAATGAGAGACTTCGAAAGATGAATGTATTCATGTAGATGAAATACTATATATGACCATGTGTGATACTAAAGATATCAAAATGTTCATTTTTAAGTGCAATAGAAGGGTTATCTCTCGTAAAATCTCAATTTAAGGAAGATTTAGAAAGAACTCCTTTCCTAAGTAGATAGTGTGTGGTTTCTGTCTTTTGGTTGATCAGGAACTATGAAATTAAGTCGGACAGAAAGAAGTTCTTTCCAAAACAGACTCCAAATGAGTTGTTCGAAAAGAACTTCCTTCTGTATATGGATAATTGTAGTTACCGCACTGAAGTATGTGATTGTGATGATGGAGTTCTCGATAAATCTAAAATCGGATTAAGATTAATTGAAAACTCAAGTAATTCTTTGAAATCTTGTGTTGTCTGGCACTATAATAACCAAAGAATGAGAATATTATGTTGAATGATGAGTACGTGTGCTCGGCATTCGCCGAGCGAATTGAGTTTAACGTACTATGAAAAGTGAGAAATTTGGGCTTTTTTTCCTAGGGTTATGATCTCTTCCTTTCTGCTCAATACGACAGAAATGAAAGAATGAATTTGTACTCCCTAATTGATTACTACAATCTGTATCTATCTTTAACATAGAATTAGCTGCATTGTGATTTATACTCCAGAATTATTCAATTTAAGATCAACCTCGTAAATTTTAATCATATTGCACCAATACTCCTACGTTGAGATAAGAACATGATTATACATACCAAAGCCCCATATTAAAAATCAAAATTTAGCACCTCCATTATGCAACCACATTATTCGTCGCAAATAAGTATGTTTACGCATATTATGATGCATATTCACACAACTCGTATACATGAAAAGTTATTAAAATCAGACAAAATTATTGCAATAAGGAAAAAAAACAAACTTTATTATATATGTTAGTAATGAATTACAAATATTTCTACAAAGAATGCTCAATACTTCATATAATCTTCGAATATTTCTTATTACAAGTTAATACATTTTGACTCGAACATGATAAACAAAAGCCGACACGCCGATTACTACATTTATGAAAATATAGTACGTTTCCATTCATCTGTTTACTTGTTTTTGTTGGAATAAAATCATTTTTTTTTCTTTCATGAAATAAGAATTTTGCTGCGAAAGCAATATCTCTAACAATAATTAATACATTACGTCAACTCTGGAATGAGTATTTATCAAATATGATATCAAAAATTAGTTGTTTTTTATGAGTAAAAACGATGTAAATTGATTATTTGACTAATTATCAAATACTTTGATTTTCCAAATTTTTTTCGAAATTGATTTTTTCATGTGAAAATTCAAATTGTTTAATTTCATTTTTGAAATTTTGAATTTTTTTTGGAATTTTGAGTTGATCAATTCAGCAGAATTGATAATGCTATTGCTTTAGGGCATACCACAAGGTGATGAATAAAAGGTGAACATTAACAAATTATTTTAAAATCACAAATATCATCCTCATCAACTTTAATTCTAAAAAGAACTGTACTGAATTATGAAAATGCATGATTTACATTATTAAAATCTTTGAATGAAAATAGTACAAGATAAGTTTTTATTCATTTTTAATTAGATTTAAACGAAAAACTACTCCATATTAAAATTTAAGTCGAGAAATCGTATTTTGTTCTTATTTGTTAGCATTTTGTAGACATTCTAATCTTGAATTAATTTGTTACATGATATTATTAACAAATTTAACTGAAAAAATATGTTAATATGGAATAAACCATGATTATATAAGCTATCAATGCTATATATACATATGTAAAAGATTCATATTAACTCAATTAACAAAAATGATAGATTTTCATAAAGGTTCAATCTAGGTTCGTCCGAAAATTTTGATTTTTATATAGAAGACATAGTTTCATATACATAATTAAATTTTCAAACAAATTTGATCGTACCATTTATTAAGCAGGATAGTATATTAATTACTATCAGTATAAAAATATAAAAATGATTATATTTAATTATTGCATAATTTAGTCAAAGAGTTATAAGCCTCAAGTGATCGTTATCACCTTCAATGCACGTATAGTTTATTGATTCATAGATATTTAATCTATGTTTGACATGTTGTTGTCGTCATTCGTTTTGTTCCCATTCTTCCTAAGTTAGAATTAGAGAATACACCATCCACATCATCTAATTTGGTCCTCAGCGATAGATTAGTTCATTTTGGAGGAGTCCCATCAGACAGTTTTCGAGCACCAAATATCAAATTTTAATGTATACAAATCTTTAGTGATTTATCTCTTTTATGATGAGTAAAAGGTTTCTGCTCATCAACATTTGATTTCCGACATATATGATTTCTAATTGCAATTATTTACTTTCTTTTTATAATCTAACTCTGTGACTCATACCATAAATTAATTATTGGAAAGTGTCAATATGTTTGGCACAACGCATGGCGGAAGATACCAAACCATGCAGGGAATATGATACGTTTAAGATCTCCGAACTTTTTTTCCAAAAATTTTCTATCGTTGCCCTACCTCTCAAAAAAATAATCTGAATATTATCCCTCGACAGATAGAAAATCAGAAATATCTCCATAGTGGCACATTAGAATAGCACAATACGTGTTCGTTACCCTCTCTACTTTGCCTATACTTCCATTGGCTGGCAAACTTCATTCAACAAAACATTTCATTAAATCGTTAATTCTAACTTAGGCGAAAAACCTCACATTTGTACGTTGTATCCTTTTGATTCCCTTTTTTGATTCGATTAACTATCTAATACTCAAGTACTGCCAATGCTTTGTGTAATTATTCGGAACCACTATCAAATGTAAATTTTATTCGCTAAATGAATCAAAAACGAGCGAAAACTTACTATATCTGCTTTGAAAATATAAGAATTCAATATTACACGCCTTCATTGTTATCGAATTTTAAAGGTATTAGACAGACCATATAAAATTGGTTTGAATATATAAATTACTTTATGTGAATAAGCTAACGATATCTTTTTAAGCATAATTTGTGCCTCGATTTGGAAGAATTGAAAATTTGAGAATTTACGCGCTCATATAAGTTCCGTTTCGTGTAACAAACGAGTAATAACAATTGTAAAATTGCTAAAATTGGCCATAAATAACTCATTGATTTCAAATTTGCTCAATCATCGATCTGATTTGAAGTTTTAAAAGCACTAATACAAATTTGCATATTTCTATTGAATAAAGTGTATTTTCTCTCAATTTATTTATTATATATTAATGTTTTTAATATTTCTCGAATTTTATTTTTTCAAAACTACAAGAAAGTCGACTCAACTTGAAAATCTTTTCCCTTCTTTCTCATTTCAGAAAGGTGGTATGTTTTCAATCAACCTAAGTTCTCAAGTTATATCAAAATATATGCTATTAATGCCATCATTCAGAGAATTACATCAAATCAGGCTCAGTAACTTTTCTATTACAGATCCATGTGATAAATTAGGTCATATTTCGAATATTAATCATACTTTCGAATTTCAGAAGCCAGACGAATACCAAGAATGGAAAGGCCTCTTTAATTCTCCAGCTACAATAAAGCCAATTCTAGTATTATGTAGCCCCCAGAATCCACGACCAACTTACACTCTCAGTATCAACTATACAAATCCGAATACACTATTAGATCTCAGATGGATTCCATCGTTAATTATTAAGCCAGTAGCAATATGCTTATTTGCGCTCGTATTTCTATTCATGTTCTTTAATATTTTCAAATTCCAAAAGAATGCATCTCGATACAATATCTTAGTTATGATAAGTACATTTTTTATTCTCCTTTACACAATATTTTCTTATTTACAACTCAATCACGATTATTATTCTGATAAACACACTCCTTTCCGCGAACTCTCAATCACAAGCTACTTTGTTGGCCGTGTCTTGATATTTATGGCAGTGTTACTTGGTTCAAACGGCTGGGAGATTATAAATACAGAATATTCGAAAATGTACATTTTTAAGACTGCAGTTCTCTCTATTATATTATTTGCATCATCAGCGTTGAATGCTAATGTATACCTTGCTAATTATGCTTTCGCATTTCTCATTTTTGTCATTTTAGTTTTAATTATTTTGACAAAAATGATAATTGTCAATATAAACGGTGTTGAACTCGAAATCAAAGGTCATCTCTATGTCATCCATGAAAGAGGCATAGATCCTTCCACTACACCTGTTTTCAAGCAATTTGTTACTTATCATAGATATAAGACAGTTATTCTTATCTATATTCATTTTGTATTTGCAAATACATTGATTAGTTGCATTGCCGACGAAATTCCTTATTGGCTTTCAGATTTAATCAATGATTTCGCTGATCTCTTCATTTCCTTTGCATCAGCCATTCTTTTCGTATCAATAAAGAATGTTTCATCAGGTTATTCCAACATTGATGCACAGTCTGTATATCTTGAAGATATACAAGAACTGGGAATCGAAAATGACGTCTTCCAAAACCATAATTTAACTAAATGGGAAGATGGAATGGAGCTTCCTCTCAAACCACAATTAATCAATAAATCTAATGAACATGAGTCTTCCGAAGGACATCCTCAAAATGTTGATGGGGAGTTTGATACATCCATGTTATAATATATTAATTAAAAACTTCTGTCTATTTATATTATTTCATATATGTTTGGCGTTTTTATAGAGATAAGTATCGATTTCTATCTTTTATACTAACCAAATAGAATAGTTAATTGCAAGTGAAAGCATTTATTGATGATAGCTTGTCTCAAATTTTTTAAGATATGCATTCCCTTTTTTTCCAAATATTGATTTGATTACTTTCAATGTAAATGTGTTCACTATACGTCTTAGTCCATATATGCATAGTGAAAAAAGCAATTCCTTATTATGAAATTCAGATACAAGATACACAAGCTTAAAAAAAAACTATAACTTGACATCCTCTTCAAAATTGATTGAGAGGTCCAAGGTTAAGGAATAATTGTTGAATCCTTCATGTAAATGAAAGACTAAATCCACTGTGGAAAATATATTATGAAAATTTGGAAAAGGAAGGAAGCCAGTGTTAGTTTTTAACGATTATTTTTTTGTTCAATATTTTTTTTAGAAGCGCTTGGTTTTAATTGGTTATAATTCAGGCAATGTGTTTAAAGGTCTGATGGATTACATTGAAAGCTTATCTGATGATAAAATGGAATATCTTGGTTATGAGTCAACACCTAGCGACAACGCTCCTGATCAATTGTTTTACTATCGTAGTGGAGGTTCATATTTCACAGGTGAATATTCATATGAACATTATATAGGATTTTACTTAAAAAGACACATATTTGGTATTAGTTCGTTTTCGATATGTTCATCTAAAAATCCAACAAACTCAAATGTTCACCCATTGACATGGAAAATTATTGGTTCTGTTGATGGGAAAAATTGGTTTGTGATAGATTCGCACACAAATGATAACATTCTGAATGGATATGAATATACTGCTCATATTAATGTGGAAGAATGTCTTGTTCGGCATTTAAGATTTGTGTCCCCTACCTATTTTGCTTTAAGACACTTAGATTTTTTCGGAAATTTATATCCCTATAACTTTATAGCTTCACACTATCTTGCCAAATGCTATTATAGCCAAATGATAAATATTTTGCTCATGGTAATTCCTATTCTATTATGACATGTGTAATGAAGGTATAATTCAAACATGTTACAAAGTTTTGTAAAGAAAATTATTAAAATCGTTTATACTATCTAATCCGAATAGCTATCAGCAAATAAAAATTTTTCGATAATAACGATTATTTTGTATTCAATTTCATAAACAGAATAAGGATTTCTTGCGTGTTATGAACTGGTTTTAATTGAGTATGATCCTAAAAATCAATTTAATGGTCTGATGGACTACATTGAAAACATATCTGATGATAAAATGAGATATCTTTATTATGAATTTTCACCAGGACAAATTTCGCCAGAGCAATTGTTTTTCTATCGTACCGGACATTCTTATACCTCAGGTAGTAATTCAAATGAGTATTACGTTGGTTTCTACTTGAGAAAACATATATTTGATATAAGATCATTTACAATACGAACATCTGATAATCCAAGAAACTCAAATCATCATCCATTAACATGGAAACTTATTGGTTCTGTTGATGATCAAAATTGGTTTGTTATCGATTCTCATATAAACGATAATGCACTTAATGGAGGCTTATTAACAGTTCACTTTGAAACGCAAGGATGTCTTATCCGACATTTAAGATTTGTTTCACCAAAATTTTTTGCTTTAAATCAGTTTGATTTTTTTGGGAATCTATATCCATATAAATTTATAGCTTCGTCATGTCTTGCTAAATACTATTATAGCCAAACGATAAGTTCATTACTCATGGTAATTTTTATCATATTATGAAAGATTCTGAAATCCTTAAGGAAACTAATAAAATCTCTTATGCTGACTAATTAGAATAGCTAACAACAAGTAAAAAGATTTTTCATAAATTTAAATGATGTGACAAAACATTTAAAAATATCGATTATTTTGAATTCAAATGCATAGACTTATAAAGTATAACTTAAAATTATAAAATAATAACTTGGTTTTAATTGAATATAATCCTAAAGATCAATTTAATGGTCTGATGGACTATATTGCAAGCCTGTCTGATGATAAAATGAGATATCTTTATTATGAATCTTCACCAGGACAAACTTCACCAGAACAATTGTTTTACTACAAAGATGGATACTCATATGGTACAGGTGAAAATACAAATCAGTACTATGTTGGATTCTATTTGAAAAAACATATATTTGATATCAGATCATTTTCAATTGGCTCATCTCTTAATCCAACAAATTCAAGGGTCCATCCAGTGACATGGAAGCTTATGGGCTCTGTTGATGAACAGAACTGGTTTGTTATCGATTCTCACACAAATGATAATTTACTAAATGGATTTGACTTAAAAGCCCATATTGATGTGCAAGGATGTCTTGTACGACATATAAGATTTGTATCACCCTCATACTTTGCTTTAAGATACCTAGATTTTTTCGGAAATTTATATCCTTATAACTTTAAAGCTTCACCTTGTCTTGTAAAATACTATTATTGCCAAATTATAAGTTTATGGCACATGGTTATACCTATCTTATTATGATATATTTTTATAATTTTGAACTATCTACCTACATTATCAATATTTTATATCCTTCCTTCTTACTACATTAAACTCTTTTTAATAGAACTTTATATACGAATTTTTCACTCCGGAATAAAGATAATGATGAATCATTTCTTACTGAATGGTAATTCATATATAATAATTGCATAATATTAATTTATACATGATTACATATATAGTCACTATGGATTGACTATTTAATTCTGTTTTATTGATTTGCTCAATTTGTATCAATGTCGTTTTAATATATTCATATGACGCTTATGAATGATTATCTAAGTTTATGATATTCTATATGACTTGGCCGCTCATATTGAGATCAAATAAATGTTGTTTGATATCTTATCATAACATTATAAATTCTACACCCAAAAGCCATGTAAATCATCTTAAGCGACACATTCCTATAGATTAATCGATCATTTTTTAGAATGTCAACCGATGTTGTATGCGTCGGCGTAATGGTCGCTGATGTATTAGCAGATGGTGTTGATAACGGAATTTTCGATCGTGATATTACTCGTGTTTCAATGGTAAAGCTTGCTACAGGTGGTGATGCATTTAACCAAGCTATAAACATTTCTGCACTCGGATATAATGTTAAATTATGCGGTAAAGTTGGTCAAGATGGTGTTGGCACTTATCTTTTAGCTGAAGGCGCAAACCACCACATAGATATGTCTTCTGTGAAGACAACAAATGAATATCCGACATCAATATCCATAGTACTTATCAACAAAAATGGCGAAAGAAACTTTATCGGAAACGCACGTGGTACAAACAGCTCTCTTTGTTCAAATGATATCGATATCTCCTGTTTCAAAGGAGCCAAGATTGTATCATTAGGTAGTCTTTACGGAAGCCTCTCTCTAGATGGAGAAGCCGCTAAATATGTTCTTTCTCATGCAAAAGAAGTCGGATGTATCACAGTTTCAGATATGATGCATGCTGATCGCCATTCACTTGAAGATGCTAAACTTTGTTTACCATATATAGACTATTTCCTTCCTAACTTCGAAGAAGCTTCACAACTTACAGGAAAGAAAGATTTGAACGAAATTGCAGATACTTTACTTTCTCTTGGCGTCAAGAATGTTCTTATCAAACTTGGCCGTGATGGTGTTTTCATCAAGAACAGTCAGCTTTGCACAAAAGTTCCTGCATATCTTACTGAACCAATTGATACAACAGGAGCCGGAGATGCCATGGTTTCTGGATTTATCAGTGGTTTACTTGATAACTGTGATATTGTTGATGCTGCAAAGAGAGGTTGTGCTGCTGGCTCAATTGCTGTGAGATCAATTGGCGCCACAGGAGGAATTCACTCCAAATCACAACTTCTTGAAATAACAAATCCAGAACAGCACTAAATTTATACATGATATGAATAAAATATATTTTATAAAAATTATTACAATTAATTCTTACATGTTTTTATGAGGTATGAACGTTGAAATTTCATTTAGGTTGTTTTTACTAATATTTGCTTTACCATAATTAATTCTTAAAATTCCGGCTTTAATTTGATGATTTTTATGATTTAATGGCCTACATATGCAATATAATGGACATTAAAATTTCCAAAATTTTGAGATTTTGTAATAAATGTCAACAAAATGCTAAATTCTTTTTGAGATTTTTGAGATTTTGAAATTTTTTTGGCGGTTTATGAAATTAAAATTTACATATCTCGTGCTATGCGCTAAAAATCCGAATTCTAAATGTATGGAATTTCTTTATTTTAGAATGGGTATTCTTTTATCTGTTAGTTATTTCAAATTTCAAGAATTTCGAACCAAAAAATTATTATATAGTAAAGATGAAGGAATAATTCGTAAAAATTAGTTTTTTCATTCATTGGCATATCATATGAACCAATGCTTATTTGAAAGGGTTTTGACTTTTTTTCAATTTTATAGGGTATTATTTGCTTTGCCAAAACAATTGTATCCTACATTTCAGAGACTCACATCCTGCCACTAATATACACAGTTAGATTGCTATTAATGATACATAGCTTGATGGCTTTTTGTTCAGAATTGAGGTATTTTCATACATAACAATTCATTCAAAAACATTGAAAATTTAGGATTTGAAATGTTTTTGTCAGTTAGAAAAAAAAGTAAAAAATGTCAAGTAGTGAGATATGGAATAGAGTGAATAACATAATTTCAAGTTCCTATTGTAAAAGTCTTACTACTAATGAAGCAGAAACTCTTCTTGAGATTCAGGAATTGAAAAATGAAGAAACAAAAATATCAACTGCCGAAACTGTTCTAAAGTTGGATTTGATAGATGCATATACACAAAGAGTTAAGAAAATCAAGAAACTTGAAAAGTTTCTGGATTTAGCTGATGAATTAAAAGATAATAAAAAATTACGTTCCGATATTCGTGATATTCTTCTTACAGGCAATGAAAAATTCACCTTATCATCAAAGCGAACAGTCGTACCAAATTAATTTCATTACATTTTGACAATTTGTTCATTTTTAATTTATATCACTTATTTTTTCTCAAGACAATAGGATAATGTCGTTTAATTGATGTAGTTACAAGATCAGCTTATCATTTGGTTACCAAAACAAACAGAACGTTTATTTTATTTCTATTGTCCAATATCGACTTGTTCTTTAGATATTGTCGCTCTTATATCTAGCACTTTACGCATGGATGATGCATGTTTTCATCAATTGATTGCTTGTTTCAAAAAATAATTTCGATTTTTAATCTGACAAGCCGATTCGATCACTTCTACCCAAAAACTAATATAACATACATTATTAGTTGCTGCTATCCATATTTGGAAGCTTTAGACCTTAATTTTTCAGAGATATATCATTTTAACGTTTATTTAAAAAATTCCTTATTCTTAATTACTGTAATTCTTTCGAGCTTGCACTCATTTATTTTATTGTATCATTCTAATCCTTTTAAAATCTGTTTTTTTTAGTGAGTAACATTTTTTTCGATTATTTTTTTTATGTAATATAAAAATAAGTTTAATTGATAAGGATATATAAGATAAAGAATTTAGTGCTTTAACTGAAGGAGGAGAGTCTTCATGCGAGAAACATCCTTGACATGTAAATCTGCGCGGTTAAAGTCGATAAAGCTAACAACACCTTCCCACTGATTATCGTGCTTTTCTTCAAGAGATGCAATTGTTTCCTTGTCAACGTCAAGATTATGCTTTTTACGGCTCTCTTGTCCTTCCTCGAGTTTTTTATAATAGGCAGCGAGATCATCGTTTGCCTTCTGTTTCATTTTCTGTATATCTTCTTCTTCTTTACTGTCTATTTGAGCAATCTCGACATTCTTCTTCTCCTGCCATTCTACAAGAGCAGAGACCTTTTCTGGTTCAGCAGCTGGCTCGTTATAAGCAGCATAAATGTCGTCCTCGTTTTCTTGTTGTTCTTGTGGTGTATTTTCGGCAATTTCCTGATTTTCTTGATTTTCGACTGGTGTTTCAATATTTTCTGGCTGTGCGACACCATCCTGGCTGCCTGCTGGTGCTGCACCAGCACCAAAGAGGTCATCGCCGTTGTTGTCATTCAGCATACTTTCCATTTGTAAATGGCCTCCAAAACTGCAAACAAACTTTTTCAAATTTTGATGGCAACCGTTCACTTTCCCCATATAAAACTTTTTTTAACGATGAGATTTTTATATCCCGATTGCAAGTGTTAAAAATTAGGAATGCTAATTATTCTATAGAATATTTCAGTGAGCATCATATCTTTATTTACTATCTTTTTTTTCATCACCAGATTTGATTTTTTTTTTCTAGCGTCTGTTTTTTATTGGTAACCAATGAAGTGATTCGTGTTACACACAATTGTCACAAAAATAGTTATTTCTCTTAGTATCGTTTTATTTTTATCTTCAGTTTTGATTTTTTTGTTTGTTTTCTTTTCCGTGTTACCATCAAATTATATTTTGTTGCATTCATCGACAAACACACGCCTCCTAAATGTATTTAAACTTCTATGTTTAACAATATTGAGTATAGAACAAAGATATTAATTCGATTATTTTGTTTAAGTTTTAAGATTGAGTAATATATAGGTAAATATACAAGATGAGCATATTTAAACTCATCAAATAGAATTTAATGATTCCATATTAATATCAACTCATTTTAAAACAATTTAAATTGAGAAACCTATGTTCCTCGTAGCGAAAGCTTGAAAATAGGATCATTTGGAAATCTAGTGGAAATTTATTCAAAATTGTTTTAATCCGCTATACGAATACGAGATTTTCCTTTTCCTTTACTAACACCCACATAAGTAAGAATCTAGATTCCCAATATATATAAGAGATTTATATTAATATTTTTATTTGAGTCAGCCTATCACTATTACAGTCAGTAATTTTTGCTTATATCTAGACTTTGTGCGACGGCGTTGATTTAGGGCTATGATATGATTACTTCATATCCTTACGATGAGACTTTGATATCATAAATGAGAGACAATATGTATCGAATAGAACTCTAAGCCGCTGAACTATTAATGCAATGGATTTAGATAAGAACGAAATATTTAGGTAGGATCCATTTTTGACGATCCGATCAACACATTCAAAATTTGAGAGAATTTTGAGTTCAATCGTTCAAACTTCAAACTTTCACAAATAGCATATAAAGTTGTAATCTTAAAATGTAATTTTGCTATACGTTGAAGAAGAGTTATTGAATAAGAGAGAATTGCATAGAAATAACCTCAGAACTATCATCTGGCAGGTTATCCAGTTGGATTTAGAATTGATTATACAAGTTCTGGCTGCGTGAATAACAAAACTATCAGAATAACAGATTTCAACACTCATTTTACTATTTGCCCATAAATTTCCTTCAATATTTCACTACGATATCACAGCTGAGTTAAAATATATTTTAGAAATCCATTAGATTTCACTTCAACGAACTTTGCGTTTGGATTCCATTTTGAATATGCCAGTCATTTAAAACAACTTTGATATTATGAATCACTATTAATTGTAATCATGATCCATCATTTATCTCATAAGAGTTATTTTGAGAATGCGCTATAATTCAAATTTTTATATCATTCTGAAAAGTATATTTGGTGCTAATAAACTGCATTAGCTCAATTTTTAAGAATTTAAAAAATGTGGTCAATTTACACTCGAATGGAATCTCACAGTCTCATCACACTTTTCAATGCTCGATTTTTAAAAACTGTTTAAAAATGGAGCTTATATTGAAATAGTGTAGAGACTAAAAATTACCACAGACTATTTCAGAGGATTGAGTTGCCACTCAATCCTCTGAAAAATCTGAGGTAATTTGCAAAATTATTTTTAACTTTTCAATGCACCTTCAATTTTTTAATTGCACCATTTATCTTGGTATAGTATTATGTTATTAAACGCTCGTAATATCTATTCAAAAATCGTACTATTCAATTTTATGAAAATTTACACTCATCACCATGTTATCAAATATCAAATGCATTTATTTTTTTAAAACGTATTTTAGCACTTCTCAAATTTTGAAACTGTTTTCTGAACTTCCCTTATTAACGTAGACATCTTTCTTATGAGATTTTCAAATGAATTTTAAATTTTTAGATGTTTTGAATTTATTTTTTCTCAATGGAAAACAATACTAATCACTCACGTGGATCTACTTCTTTTTCATCAAATCTTAGCATGAGCGTTACAAATCGCTGGGCTGGTATGATTGAACAGTCTGTTTACAAAAAAACACGTAACTCACTGTTTCAATTAATATCTTATGTCTACATTCAATGTCCTTCAATGTTCATCATGCATACAATTGTTTCAATCTTTAGATTGCTTCAATTTGTAGGACCTTTGTTCTTTGTTTCCTATAAAACACTTTGGTCCTCAGGTTCAATGTCATCGACAATTGTTTCTTTATTCAGTGTTTTCTTCCATATTTTTCCACCATCTATCCGCGAGAGCTGCACAATTCCATTTTTAGGTGTCTACGTTGGCTTATTAGGTTTGTTTTTCATTTTTACAATTTACTGTGCATTTTATTACAAACAGAACGCCAAATTACCAGATTGGGTTCCTATTTTCATATATGTTTTCTTAAATACATTTGGATATTTATTACATCCAATCGCATTTCAGCTTGGTGGTGAAGAACTAAGCTTATTGATCATGGGAAAATCATCGATTAATCATAAGGCCAGTATTGCATTGCTTTGTTTAACTTTAATTTTCTTCGGAATTTATACATGGTTAATCGCTACGATTACATCGACATCAATCCTATTCAATCCAACATCTTTGCTATCAGTTGTTGGCAGACCGCAGCTTATGATCTTTATTCTAACAAACGTTGTTACGTTATTAATCTCTACAGGCACAAGTCTTACGAAGATTCCTCGATTAGTTCTTCTCGGTGTTGCTGGTATCGGATATATTATTTCGATAATGATACCATTCATTGATGGCGGCTTTATTTCATTCTTACATTCAAGTTTAATCTTCGCTACATCAATGGCAGGACCATTATTATGCATCGGATGCATCGTCTTAGAAGTACTTAACGTTAAAGGTACAGAAGTTGTAATTATTCTCATTCTTGCAATATGGGGTATTATGTATGTGGTTTCTATCCTTATTTTGAATGCAAGAAGGCGTAAAATCCTCTTATTACTCGATGAGATAGAAGAAAGCCAAGAAGCTTTCGAGCGTGTCAAATCTCCAAGATATTTCTCCGAAATTTGTGTCCAAGGATTCGCAAATGCCCATCCGATCTGCATCTCCTGTACAATCTTCACATATGCAACCAATGCATGGCAGGATAATGTCCTTATTTGGGTTCTTTACGCCAAATTTGCAACAATTTATCCAGAAGAAACAATGAAAATTGGTTGGATACAGCATCAAATGATGAGTTTGCATATCAAAGGTGCTACAAGCAAACACATACAAGAAGAGATCATTACCATTATCAGGACACGTGAAATCAACATTTCTGCCGAGTTAAAGAAGAAGTTGAACAGATTAAACAAAAAAGTTCAACTTGTCAAGAACAAATTAAGACATATTTGGGATCTCGTTATACAAGGAAACACAGGAGATATGGATACATACATCACATTAACATACAACTCCATTGAAGACACATTGGCCGAGTACAACCACATAATGAGACAATATCCAAACTCAAGATTTGTTGCGAGAAGTTATGCGAGATTTATGTTGGAAGTTCTTGCAGATCACGAGAAATTCAATGAATGGGCTGAGAAATCGAAACTCCTTCAGCGTGGTATCACTGTTAAACCTGATCACGCACATGAATTAGGTGTTTACTATTTCCCTAATTTGCCACAAAAATTAGAAGTTGGAGAAAACCAAGTCCAAGGACAAAACCCAGATTCCGAATCGAATTTCATGGAAATGGATGGAGAATATGATGAAAAAACTGCTACATCAATGGAACAATCAATTGCTTTAAGAAGACAAATAGAAAATTTAAGAATTCCTTCAACATTCCATTCAACAATTCAGAGGATTTTAATCATCTTCATTTTATTCCTTCTTCCGATTGTTGCTGCCACAGTATTGATCTTTTCCAAGACAAAGACATACAGCGAGCCATTGACATATCTCCAGAGTGTTTCCTTGCTGAGAACTTATCTCTTTATGACTGTTTCTTTCGGTGTTCACTACATTCACACTGAATTAGATCTTGTCAAACCAATTGAATCAAACGGTTTGGCCGGACCGTCATCTTTAGGTGGAACATTTAATTTGACACAGCAATTCAGCTACTTGTTGAATGAACTAACGAGTACTGTACAAGATTTGAACGGTTTGAGAGCAATTGCACAAGGAAATGTTGACATGGACTCAGCAAGACATCATTTATTTGGCAATTTCTTGAATTTCACGCAATTCAAGAACACAACGTCCAACAAAACAGAATTAACATCAGTTTCCGTTGGCATCATGGAGATTGTCACACAATTGAGTCATTTAACTGACAAAGCTTTTAATACTTCTATTTATGAAGACCCTAAGATTGTTACTCCAACATATAACGCTGTTCCTGTTGCAGATGCGATTTCTCTTTGTTTGAATGATATCAATAATTACATGGATGATCATCACGAATATATAACGAAAATTTTGTTGATTTTACAAATAGTTTGTTATATATTGATACCTGTTTTGTTGTTTGTTTTCTTGTATGTCGAAATCAAACACATAAACAACAACAAACTGACAATTTACAAATGCATGACATCATTACCTAAAAACGTTGTCAGTGGTATCAGTGATTCATTCAAGATGATGAAAGATGAGCAACAAAGTGAAAATGCAAGTCATACGGAGCAAGACAGCAAAATCAACAAACAAGAAGAAAACATGCTTAAGATTTTCGCTACAGCAACTGATTCTAGTGGTTCCAAATTCAGTGATGCAATTTTAATGGTTACTTGCACTGTTTTATCAGTTATTTTGGCTGTTTTAATGATTTATTTCATTGATCAACTCTTCATGACAATGTCTATTTCTATCCATGATTCAGCACCAAACATGGATAATTTGATGGGTGCTTTCGCTTACCAATGCTCAATGATGATGATGCTTTCAATCGTTTCTTCTGAAAACGTTGGTTATTCAATACATGGCGAGAAAAGTGAAGATATTATCACAAAAATTAACACACAATTGGTCAGTTCACTTGCATATTTCCACAAAGCTAGATATGGAAAAGAAGATGGTTCTACACGTCCTTTCAATGAATTTAATGAAGCCATTGTTGAATTGAACGAGAAATCCCATTGTTCGACATCAAACATTGTTGTTCCAAAGAATATGAGAGAATCATATGAATGTTTGAGTTTAGAAATGTTGTATTATTCTGTGGAAACAATTATTGAGTCATTGACACAACCAATGGAACAAAATCACCAATTGTTCTTCCCGAATGAAACAACGTTAACTAATCTTTGGGATATAGAAACAGAGTTCCTTTATGATAAGTTCTTCCATCCAATATTCACAGAAATCATTCCTTTCATTGAAGATTCACTTTTGAAGTCAGAAACATCAAAATTAATTGTTATTTATGTTATTTTTGTTTTGGAATTATTGGTTGAATTATATGTTATTTACCACTTCAAGATCGAAGAACAGTACATGAGATTCGCCCTCAAACTATTGTTACATTGCACACCATCGACAATTACTCAAATTCCTTTAATTGTCAATGTTTTGGGCGGAAACTTTAAATCAATAAAAGGTGACAGTACTTTATTGAACAAACAATTCTTCGATGAAGTTCTTGTTCAGCTTCCTGATCCTCTTATTATTGTTGATGAGTCCGGATGTATTTCATCAGTAAATACTCAAGGACAAAGGATGTTCCAACAACCGAATTTGATTGGCACAAAAATGTCAGAATTTTGGAGTTTGGATGCTTTCGAAAGATCCATTTATAACTTGAGAAAACAACCTCCTCAAGAAGAAGAGATTACTTATGTCGATACAACGAACACTAAGTTCAATCTCTCAGTGAAATCCTTGTCTTTCAACCAAGTAACCGCTTATCTTTTCAAGGATATAACTCAAAATGTAAGATATAATACTTTGATCGATGAAGAAAGAGGAAAAAGTGACAAATTATTAGAAAGTATTTTGCCAGCTAAATTAGTTAGAAGAGTACAGCAAGGAGAGAAGAACATCTCATTCTCTGTACAGTCAGCGAGTGTTGTATTCATGGATATCGTGTCTTTCACACCTTGGTGTGGAAGTTTGCCTGCAAACAGAGTTATGGAAATTTTGAACAGATTGTATAAAGAATTTGACGCAAAAGTAGCAAGTTTCCCGACAATGACTAAGATCAAATGCATCGGTGACTGCTACATGGCTGCTGGTGGTATTTTCGCAGAGATAAACCAACCAGCTGTTCATGCAAAGGAAATTGTTGAATTCGGAATTGAAGCAATTGGTGCTGTAGGTGTTGTGAATGAAGAAACGAAACAATCACTACAGATTAGAGTTGGTATTAACACGGGTGGACCTTTGGTTGCTGGTGTTTTAGGCTCTGGTAAACCAACTTTCGAAATCCTTGGTCCAACAATTAACATGGCTCAACAAATGGAGCACCATGGTGTTCCAATGCAGGTACACATATCTAGAGCTGTCTATGAACTGATTTACGGCGGTAATTTCAAGATTAAGGAAAGAGGTCAGATCGAGATTAAGAATGGTACAGTTGTAACATACCTTGTATCACCATAATTTCTTTTTTTACTTTTTATATTTCTTTTTATTTTTTATTTTTTCATGCTAAAATTTTTTATTTACTTCTTTATTTCATTTTTACATGGCTAATATACACAGAGAATATTTGGACTGCCATTCTTAAGGGTGTACTTACAATCATTTTACATCTGATGTGATGAATTTCTCCTCATTCGATAGTTTACCGGCGTCGATGCTTTCCTACGTAAATGTATTCCTCCAAAACATTTCCATAATGAACTTCTCGCTTGAGTTATACCAGCCATTATGCCACAAGAAGAGATGGTTTCTTCTTTTTGAGCAGTTCGATTGTGGATAAGATATTCCATAAAGTCTTTTTAATCACTGGTGGAATGGAATTGAAATATAGTGTAGGGCAAAATATGATGATGATGATAGAGAACAGTACGATTGATTTGGAGTCAGAATTCTGTCTCCAACTCCCTTACCTTTTCTGAGAGTATCAACTAGATAATTACGTTAGAAACTGATAATTTACTAATCAGGAAATGGAAAACAGTACTGAGTTCCAATGTTATTACCAACACATTGCTCAATTCAATATTTATTACTAGATTTTTTTTTGAATATTTTAGAAAAATAAAAAAAAGATCTGTAATTTAGTTTAATTTTAAAGAGTTTAATAATACAATAGTAATGGTGTAACAATATATTGTAGTATTATAATATAACAATATTTTAACCTGAATTTTGTATGATAAAGAACAAAATTTGATAATTTCAAACATGAAGTACGCTTAGACCTTTTGGGCTACGATGTACATGATTGCTGAGCCGATACCTAGGATAAATTCTAGAATTTCGAGTGCTAAAGCAAAAATGTTGAAAATGAATTCAAGTCTTAATACGTATGTCTGAAATAGTGCGAAATATAAACTTCCGATGCCTGAAAACAGTGTAACAACTGCAAACATGATGAGTGCAACACCATCTAAACGTCTAACACCTCTATTACCAACTTTCGTACGGATTAATGACATAATTCCCCAACATACATAAAGAATAACATCCATTGGATAGTAAGGACCTGCATATGGTAATTCTATGCCTTTATAAATGAAAAGAAGAATATTAATGATAAATATAAGTGCTAACCATCCACTACTGACGTGAAGTAAAAGTCCGAGGAAAAGGCCTAAGATATTAGGTTGAGTTTCACGCATTTTCAAACGGATTCTGACTTGTGATATAAAAAAACCAGTATAAAATTGGATTTCAATCAAATAAAATCATGAAATAAACATGAAATATTATTATATACTTGCTCTTTAGTTTAAACAATAACATAAAAATGCTGAAAAAAGACAAATTTCACCAGAATATGGTTATTCTAAAGAAATATTAAATGCTTATTATTGAGTTTAGCTTTTACATCATCAGTGGGCCATTTCAACTCTATGAACTTCATCATATTTCATAATTTTAATTAGGATTTTTATCTGATCATTGTTTTGACATGCGCAACACAGTTATTTTTTCTTCAACAGATATTTAAAACATTTTCCCCATTTAAAATGTTAATGAATGCCTTCGTTAATTTATATAAATCTTGTCACATAGTTATATGTTCATTGTTTTCCACTTGCATAGCAAGGATTTCCTCTCTTCCAAATAATTCGTAATTTGCAGGATATTTTATTTTTAAAAATTTTTTATGAGTGATCAAGATTTTCATCTAAATAAATACAGAGAACTGCGAAGTATCTATAAATGCCACATCGAGTCATATATTGCGTTATTTCAATTAAGAACGAACAATGAAGAAGAATTAAACTCAATTTACAAAATGATAAAAACAGAATTGATTGATTCAAAGAAATATCTCCCTCAAATTATTATAAAAGAAATTTTGAGTATCATTCCGTATAATAATCGCTACATAAAGTCATATCTGATGCTTGCCAAACACATATCAGATGATTATCATATTACAGAGGTCAGAAAAATTCCAATTATCTCCAACTTTCTATTTAATGAAGAATACGGGATTCAATTAGACAAATTTCATGATTTCGAAGATATTAATTCAGAAAATCTAAAAATTCATTCCGAAAATACGATTTACAAAGCAATTATGGATGACGATAAAGACGAGTTCATCTCTTTCACAATGAAAGAAGGATTTGATATAAATCAAAAGCTTCGAAGCAAATTATATCCAGAACATAATCATTATTATAAAGGATTGTCATTACTCGAATTATGCTGTTATCATGGAGCCGTTAATTGTTTTAATTACTTAAGAACAATGTTTGACGCATATATAACTGTAACATGCATTAATTTTTCATTTTTAGGAGGAAATGCAGAGATAATAATTGAATGTTTGAAATATCAAAAACCAGATGAAAATAGTATGGAATACGCAATTATTTCACACAATATTGACTTTGTTACATTCTTGATGAATGAATATAATATTGAGATCGATTTATCATATTGTGGAAAATATAATAATCTTGATTCTTTTTTTGTTTATTTTGAACAAACAAATGATATTAACAAATGCTTTACTTTTTCAATTGTTTTTGATATACCTTCTCTTTGTGAGTATTTCCTTTCACTTGGGGCAAATATTGATGAGAAGGATCAAAAGGGAAATACAGTTCTTCATATAGCAGCAGAGGATAAGAGCTTAAAACTAATTGAATTAATACTTTCAAAAATAACAAATGTCGATGCAAAAAACAAATACGGTTACACAGCTCTTCATAATGCCACATGGAGAAATAGGAAAGAAGTTGTTGAATTACTTCTTTCATATAATGCAAATGTCAATGAGAAAGATTATGATAGAGAAACCGCTCTTCATATTGCAGCAGCGAGAAATAGTAAAGAAATAATCAAACTGCTTATTTCACACGGTGCAAATGTCAATGAAACGGATGATGAAGGTCAAATTCCTCTCCACAAAGCAGCATATAATAACGCTAAAGAAGTGATTGAACAGCTTATTTTTTACCGATCACATATCAATGAGAAAGATAACAATGGAAGCACAGCTCTTCATCATGCAACCAGCCGTAATAATAAAGAAGCAATTGAAGTTCTTCTTTCATATGGTGCAAAAATTGATGAAAAAGACTATTACGGAGAAACTGCTCTTATTATTGCCGCGTGGAGAAATCAGAAAGAAATAGTTGAATTACTTCTTTCACACGGTGCCAATGCCAATATAAAAGATAACAATGGAAGCACAGCTCTTCATCATGCAACCAGCCGTAATAATAAAGAAGCAATTGAAGTTCTTCTTTCATATGGTGCAAAAATTGATGAAAAAGACTATTATGGTTACACCGCTCTTATTATTGCCGCGTGGAGAAATCAGAAAGAAATAGTTGAATTACTTCTTTCACACGGTGCCAATGCCAATATAAAAGATAAAAAAGGAAGAACAGCTCTTCATCATGCATCAATGGAAAATAACAAAGAAATAGCTGAGATTCTGCTTTTACATGGTGCAATTGTAAGTGAAAAAGATATCTATGGACAAACACCTTTTTATTATGCATATTGGAGTGGTGAAGACAATGTCGACTATCATTCACAGAATAAAAATGACAAATATAGTGGAGGCCAATATTGGTAAGAGGACGAGTTTAAATGAGTGCTAGTTACATTAGTGGCTTTGAAAAAAATGCTTTTTGCTATCTAGATTTTGTAAAGTCAGAGCAAACTACTTTAAACGAATAACAATAGAAATTATCATGTATTTAATAAAATATACTGTTTAATGCTAAATATTTATAATGAATTTTCAAAATATGATGTATTGACTTGAATGCGCAACTAAATTCATTGATGATAAAAATAATCTTTTGCGATTATTCAAACTTTTAGATTTTTAACTTTTATAAAAGCTAGAATTCGCAAAATATTAAAGACATTGTTAAAAAAGGGAGTTTTTGGTTATAATAATAAATTTGTTTAAATAACAAGATATGCCTAAGTGCAGATAAACTATTTCTGACTCATACAACATTGAGATAACTCATAATGATTTGTTCGGAAAGATTCAAAAATTAAGTCATAAAAAAATAGAAATTTCTGATACTAATTGAAATTCCAATACCTGTAAGTGTTATATTCCTGACGTAGTGCCTTCATTTTATCAGCACGAAGCGGCAAAAGAAATTAAATCAAAATATGATTCAATCTAGTAAATTAAAGCTAATATAATATTAGTTACTTGTCTGATCAATGTATACTGGGACGTAAAGGCGCCATTGTGCGTACATTGAGAAGAATTTTGATGCGAACTGTTCACTTGGTAATTTTTGATAGAAGAACTTACGAGATGTTTTCGGATCTGAATTCAATATAAGTTTTAGAATTTCATCATCGTTTGCTGTTGAACCTAAATCTCTAAATGTCTTGAAAACCCAAATAACGAAAGGCTGAGCGAGTTTGTTAATTCTAGATATAAACATTGGGGCTTGGTCTTTAGGAATTGGACCTTCCATGAATTGTTCAAAATCTTGAAGTCCGGTAATTGGAGTTGGATTCGTTTTATGCTCAGATAAGCTTTGGCGAGTTATAAATGATTTATTTACCTTGTTAACCATATTGTTAAACGGACTTTTGTTATCAGTCCATAAAAACCAATCTGAAGGAGGTGCTCCTTGAATTGGCTTTTCAGATAATATTTGTGATACAGGCTTTGATTGAATTGAACCTACTTCAAGCGCTAAAGCGTTTCCATCGACCAAACCAGAATCAAACCAAGCTTGAAGCATTGCAGTATCCATTGGACCAATATTACCGACGCGCTCATCTTGGATATTGTATTGTTCTTTTCGTCCATAACTCTGCTGATTTTGATAGTTATCCATTTTTATGAGAAAAGTGACAAAATTGAATTTAACTCAGATTCCATGAAACAATAGCTCTTTCTCATTATTTCAAACATCTCATTAGTATTATTTTTTGTAATATTGTCATATGTTAATAGATGGAGTCAATATAAACCTGTAATAATTTTTTTTAGTCACCAATCGGAAAAATTTTGTGGCTTCGAAATTTCCTTTTTCTAAAGATACTGCATTGTTTTATTCCAATAAAAATATATCCATAATAGCACCGGTTAGTGCATGCACATATCTCTATAGATAGATTCCTCTTAAGATTTTCAGATAGCAAGATAGAAACACCCAAAATCCCCTATAAAATTGAATGTTCTTTCAAAATTGAGAGATAAGTTATTTATCCGGAAAAATAAAAACAATACATATTGAAACAATATTACAATGTGAAACAAAACATTATTCTTTTACTTCGAAAGATATTGAGATAATTCAGTTCTTAACATTGGCGCAAGTTTGCAAACCGCGTTAATTGCGCCGTTATTGCACTTATTTTCTTGATCAAATTGGATCAATTCCTGAATACCTTCTTGCTTGGTTGCCATCGTTCCGATTTTATCAACAATCTTAACGAAAATAAGCTTATCATTAACAGTCATCTCAGGAGGTTCCTCATATTCTTCTTCCATTGCAACTTTGCCGACAATTCTTTGATCAACACTCTGATTTTGCTTAAAGAATTCTGATGTCATTCTTCTTTGCTGATCAAGTGTAACCGTTTCAGTGAGAAGGCTCTTATAGAGAACAGGGCGAAGATCTTCCTTTGGAACATCTCCATATCTTGTGATGGCGTCTTTAACGTAATCTCTGAGCATCATTAGATCAGCTCCAACTCTATCTAAGCAGAAGAGAGAGTTTGCAGTCATGAAAACATTATAAACAAATGTTTGTCTCGTGATTCTCTCAGGCTGCTTATCAATGAACATGATTAATGACTGATATAATGAAAATACAGGGACGACAGTGACCAAAATAAAACCAATTGCATTCATTGGCTCACTAAACTTCTGATCAATGTCTAAAGAGAAATTGAGCATTGAATTAAACAATGCAACAAGTGATTGATTCTCGATTGCACTGATAAGTGTTGGCTCTGATAAGAATGCATAAGTACAATACAATAAGTATCTAACAAGTCTTTCATCTGTTGGCTGATCTTCATATAATGAGAATAAAAATGAGAAAATTTCTCTTTGATTTCTGATGAATTCAGGAATTGATCTAATTCTCTCGATCTGAGCTTGTAAAGCAGCAATAGGATCGCTTGTGTCTATATTTCCGTCGCCATCAACACCTTTTGGAGCAATTGAGAATAATAATTGTTTTGCGGGTTCGGAAATGATCTTAAGCCTGTTGTGAGATAAATCCTTTAACTGAGATTCAACACTTGTTAAATCGTCAAGCTTGCCAAGCTCTTCGAAAATAATTGTAATGATTGCAGAGTGTTCAAGCGAAATTGACTTAAGAAGAGCATAAGCGTAATCTGAGTTCTTAGAACTGAACTTAAGTGCATCAAGAAGATCACTGTATGCATCACTTTTTGTTGCAATGCACCATAAAACAATTGGAACAATAAAAGTCAATTCTACCTTTGAAACCTTTATGCCTTCCTGTAAGTTATCCAAAAGCAAGCCCAAAGCTGCTTGGGCGCATGAAACTTGTCTCATTAAAAATTGAATTCCGCACCATTTGAGCATAATATCAATTGTGTACTGGAATTTCTTTGGAGGCTTGAATGCTGTGCGCAAACTTTCGAGAGCACTCAATCTGTCAACGTATAAAGTAGAAAGAAGTAATTTCGAAATATCATCATCAAAAACATCGCGAACATCATTAGAAAGTGAAGCTAAAAATGGAGCAAAAGCTGTTGAATCATGAATAAGTTTCAGTCCATCTTCTTCAGACATTTGCTCATTTCTTGATTTACGAGAGAAAGCTGAAGAATTGATTGCTATTGTTGCTTCTGGAGTTTCAACTATCTCGGAGATCATTGATTTACTCTTGTCAACTTCAATTCCAGAAGCATCGATATATTGATGTAATAATTTCTGCTGACTTGATGGCAATGAGGCAAATGCTTGCTGTAATGCATCAGTGAAGTCTTGATTCTTTGAAAATACTTGCGCAATTAGCTTTGTATTTTCGACCTTATCTTCTACAGCGGTTGCAATAAGTAGCATGCATGACTTCCAATCATTAATGGTCAAAGTATCAATTTTTTCGTTAATATAGCTTATTAATTCATTTCTGATTTCAGATGAAAAATTATTATTGAATTGATCGAATTGTTGGATGAAAAAGCCAGCAGGAATTACGCTTAAGAGAGATGTTAGTGTTCTTAATGCTTGTGATTTGATGTTTTCTCTTTGGTCAGTGAGACATAAAATTATTGAATAACAAACTGTTGTTGTATCTTCTGGTATTTGGAAATCTTTTGTGCCAATATGTTCCAAAATCTTTAAGCTACGCTGTCTAACTGCTTTATCATCGTTTTGCAGGTATTTTGGTAAAATCTTGAAACAATTTTCGCAAAATGTAGCGTCTACAATATCATTATCATCGTCAATCAATTGATTTTCAATATCTTCTATATATTCTAGCTGTGATTTTGAGTCATTGGCCTTAAAAGCAGCGGTATTCATTTTAGTGTACGTTTATTTATATTTCCATTATAAAACATACAGTCCAATCTAATTAGATATATCATTTAATTCTACTGTCAAACTGAAACAAAATAATTTTATCATGGTATCTCATTTTTTACAAGATTTCAAATTATTATCAAGCTTTTTATTAGAATAATAAGGTGTAACCTATCATTTTATTAGGAGTTAGTGAGAAACTCTACCAACTAGAGGCAGAAATATCAATATTTTAGTTTGAATTGGAACATTATCTCGAATACAGAATTATCTTGTGTCTCTAACATTGATAAGAAGATATATGACATATGCATATTAGATTTATGACATAAATATATCTTCTCAGTCAAATTCGATTAATGAAGTTCAAAATCATGTTTATAGAGATATAAATACAAGACTTATGAATAATATTGATAATTTAACTTTAGGATTATGGCGAAATAGATCAATATTATGGAATATCAAAATATCTCAAATTTTTCGAAACACTTAGTCGTATCGCCTAATCATCTTTTAGTGATAAGGTTCCTTCTTTTCATAAGTTCTAATTTCCAAGGAATATAAAGTACCACCTTGAAAGAGCAACTTCCTCTCCCTTATTTTGACAAATTTTTTTGTCTAATTTTCTGATGGCTGAATCTGGTAAAACAACATTAGTCAGCTTGACGAAAGGATTTATATCAATGCTAGCTTGCTCAAGCACTGGCGAAATAGATTTGGTTGAAGCCGAAGCAGCTCTCGGAACTTCTAAAAGAAGATTATACGACGTTGCAAACGTTCTTGCTGGCGTTGGGCTTGTCGAAAGGTGTGGAAAGTCCAAGGTCAGATGGGTTGGCGATCTTAGTACTGTTGATAGCGGCACAAATCAAGCCTCATTAATCGAAAAAGAAGCAGAGATAGATAAAATGATAGAACATGTAGACAAATGCCTCAATGATCTATCTTCTTCAGAATTATTCCAAAATTACGCTTGGGTTTCTGATAAAGATGTTTTAGCACTTGCCCCTGATGATGAAGTTACTCTATTTGCTTTACGAGGTCCGCCATCGCTAACAATCTCTGTACTAGAAGGCGAAGGCGATGATCCTTATCAATTAGTTTGCAGAGCACCTGATGGAGAAGTTGATTTACTTTCGATTGGAAAGACAGGAGCAAGTACAGTAGCATTACCTAAGTGATATTTTCTACAATTTAATGTTTAAATACTAAATATGTTCGCTTTGATATGTATAATTTTCCATATTTTTTAAAACAACATTGAATAACATTTTATATATGGCCAGTATTGGCCAAATTTCATCATAAATTGCTGAAAGAAATCAAAAAAATGTTTGATATGAAATTTACCAAGTTAATCAATCAGAGCGAACAATCAAATTCTTTTATAGATAGACTGTTAAAATAGAATTTGCAATATTGGAATGTGAGAGTTTGATCGATTTATTCAATCTCATTTATAAGAGCAGTTATTCAAACTCTATGCAATAATCTTATTTGTAAGATTATACATCATATGATTTTTAGTGCTATACCAAATAATTTTTTAAATATTACTCTATAATTTTTATTTTATGTGGATAATAACAAAATGACAGATAGAAATTGTGTAAAATCTACTGGGTAGGCTGATTGAATGGGAATTTAAGCGAGTTAGGATGAACAATATTATCGGAAGTCCATCCTCTTAGAATTTCGCAAATAAGATCACGAACTTGATGCTGATCAAAAACCTTTTCTTCTGCTCCCAGACTAAGCTCAAGTTGGAAGTTAAAATCAGGATCTTTTTCAAAGAATGCAATAATAGCATCTCCGAGGTAAAGAATGCATAGTTTTCCACTTATGGATAAATTCGATATTGAAGCATTGAATGGGAATTTAATACAACCTGGTGCAATTTTATCATAAGACAAACAAGCACTGAATGCAAATGATCCATTGCTTTCCCAATTAATAGAAACAGTTGCTTGAAAAGGAGCATTAAATGGAATTTGTTGTAATTGAGGAAGTTCGTAAATATGAGTCTTTAAATGCCATTGGAGTTTAACATCTATATCCTTCATTGATATTATATCGATTGTTGGTGGAATTGTACCAAAAGATAATGTATTTACCATAAATGTTGAACTAAATTCTGGTGAATCTTTCAAAGCATTCAAAAACATCTGAGTAATATACTCTATTGTTCTTTCTTGAACTACATATGACTGTAATGCATCCCAGTTAATGCGTAATGACATTAGAATGCACTAAAATCTTTTTTTGTTTATAAAAAAGAGTGCTTTGAAAAAAAAATTATAAAGAGGGATGATTGATCCCTCTGATATTGGGGAAAGGTCATCAGAGGGTTACTCAGATGGAGAAACATCCGATGATCTTGCCGTTAAATATCCTTCAGCAACTGGTTCATATGATACGCCAAAATCAATTTCATTACTTCCACAACAATGCCTTTATGACTTGATCAATAAAGTTGACGTTTCTGTTGCTGAAAATAGTAAATTAACTAATCTAGCTCATACAACAGATCAAGATTATTACATTGATCAATTAAATAAGCCATTTCTTTATATTAATTCTGCCATGATTGAGCCAATACAATCTGTTATACTTATAACCACGAAAACATACCAATTTTCTGAAAATGTATCAGAATATTTAAAAGATACGCCTATTATTTTCGGATGGCAAAATATATATCAAATGCAAGCATCAGATATATCATCTAACATACAGACATGCTATAGATCTCTTTATTTACATTTAAGGCAACACCTTGTTTTTAGCTACGTAATTGGCTTATCCCAAACAAAAATAGACACCATTATACAGCTACGAAAGAATTGTCCACGAGGGCGACAAATGTTTCATTTTATTGGCTATCAATTTCCCAAAATTACAAATCGAGGAATTTCTTACTATCCAATTTCAAGCACTAATATTTTATCATTCGAATCACTCTTCAATATCATTAGTCCTCCGTCTTGCTTTCTTTTTGATTGCGACAACGCAGGAATTGTCATTCCAATATTTGAAGAGGCATCTAAGCATTTTGTTACACCTTCAGCAAGGAAAACTGATGGAAATCAAGCATCCGATTGGTTTTGCTTTTGTGCTACATCTCCTGGTGAAGAATTACCAATTATTCCGTATTTACCGAAAGATTTTCTTTCTCAATGCATTTTGAACCCAATTCCATTAGTTATTCTATGCCATATACTTCAAAATTACAGAACTTCTTTTCCAACCGAAAATTTTCCAATTTCAATTTTAAATGATATACTTTTAAACAGCCAAAACGGCGAAATCGAACGAAACAAGATCAGTTTAGTACTACTAGCCGTTGCTGATGCAATTGCAAGTGATAATCTCCAGCCATTTATGTTCAAACAAATGTTTCGAAGAGACAGAACAACTTCTCGAATGTTTGAACATTTTATTGTGGCCCAACACTTGTTACAACCCTATGGAATCCATCCGCAGTCTCATCCACGTCTCCCTAATCTTTCTACACACCAATTATGGAGCACATTGGAATCAGAACTTTCAATTTGGGTATCGTCGAAGATAAGTGGCCGGCCAAATATCGAATTCGACTTTTTCAATAGAGTTCTGACATCTTTTGAGAACACCATGGATAATGGCTACATCAGTCAAGTATTATTAGCATTGATGTGCCATGCGCCATTTTCAGGATTCGACGGTGCGAAACGTTCTGTAATTTTATTGAGTCAATTGGCAGCGAGAAGCCAATCAAACAGAAACATGCTGTCAAAGATTTCCATCTTCCATGCTTTCTTTGCGAGGTTAGTTTCCAATTTGAGTGCCGAGGAATTACACTCTATTTCATACATCGTTGTTTCTCTTCTTCAATGTGATCCGAATTCTGTTTTTGACATCAGACATGATTTGGACATTTCTGCACTTCCTAATGCGCTTTTTGATAGAAATGTCAATTGCCAGACACGATCTTTGATTGCAGCAATCCTTGCAGCTGTTATCGATACTGTTAAAGCTGTGGAAGCTTTCTGTTCTACAGCGGAATTCTTCGATTCATTGACACAAGAAATTCCAATTGCTTCTCCACAGTTACAATTATGGTTATTGATCTTAGTTAAAAGAGTTTTCGGATCATTCCCTGCGATATCTGGCTCTTTCACACCTTCAGGAGCTCACCTGCAAATTGCAGCTTGTTTAAACCATAAAAGTCCTGAAGTTCGTGCAGCAGCAATTGCTTCTTTAACAGCTTTCATCGGAGAAAGAGGTCCTGCAACAGCTTTGATTTATTTGGCTTCACCTTTGTTGTTCGATATGAGTTTCGTAGTAAGATACGAGTTCGCACAGTTCTTGTCGCGTTTCTTTGAGTTGCAAAATCTAGATTTGTCACTCTTGGAAAAAATTCAAAATGAAAGGAACTCAAAAAATTCAAAAAATACCAAAAATACCAAAACCGAAAATTTCCCAGAAAATTCAGAGCAAAAAATTGAAAATTCTGAGAAAAATGAGAATGAAGAGGAAGACTTGACAATTAACGGTATTATTGACAAGATTGTTGGAAGTCATGTTAGTTTAGAACGAACTAGCGATAGTTTCATTGATTTCGTCCATAAATGTGATGATATTAATAATTCAGAAAAAAGTGATGAGTATTTAGTCAAAGCTATCACTTTATACTCAGATATTCTTGAAAAGGATCCACATCCCAGTGTAAAACAAGCAGGATCTCGCTTGAAAAAGGCTGTTTTCGAAGGTGGAGAAATATCTGATGGAGATACTGATGCCTTATTCAATATATCTCTTCGCCAACTGGTTAATTCCGGCCAATACAAAGTATCTGAAGAGATAAATGAAGAAAAACCTTTCACTTTTACTCCATTCCATTCTAATGACGTTCCAGCTTGTTCTGCTCATGAACTATTAGTTGCTAAACTTACAGATATGATCCCATACCACGTGATATTCGAGCAAACTAAGTATTCTCTTGCAGTTGCTTCCCCGGCCAAATCAATAATCAGATTGGATGAGGGTTTACACCAATTTGGCCGACTCAGCTGCACAGATGCTGCTATTACAGACCTCCGAACAACGGAATGGGACGATGTTCCTCGAATTATTATTGGTTCAAGTGACGGATGCGTCAATGTATGGGAAGGAAACCATCACGAATGTTCCCTTACATTCAAAGCAACTACATGTTCAGCGAATGAGTCGACTTACCAACTAGTTAGTCCTGCCAGACAAAAACACAAATTTGCCACTTCGAATTTTAATGGTGGCGTTGTTTTGTGGGACGCTGATTACTCCCAATTCATTGGAGAATGGAAAGGCGACAAAGCGAAGATGACTTCCCTCGAAATTGCAGCCAGAGACGATACAACCGTTATTAGTGGCTATGAAAATGGCCTTTTATCAGTTATCGACACTCGCCAGCCTCATTTGTTTTCTGTTTCATCACCTAACTACAACTTAGGGGGAATTGTCAAGATCAAGTCATCTTTTTCATCAGATGTAATCATAAACACTATGTCACACACAGGTGTTTATTCAGCATGGGACGCCAGAATGTGGGAACCAGTACATTACGCGCAAATCAACACTTTCGTTGATGAATGCGATATTCATCCTTGTTATTCCATTGCAATATTGACTCCAAACAATGGAAACACGATGATTGTTTCTTCGAGCGGAAAAGTTTTGTGTACATTGCCAAATTTGAAGAATGTGAGTTCTGTCGCAATGCACCCGACATTGCCTATCTTCGCTTGCTCTACACAGTCAGGTGAGATAGTTTCTTATCAACTCGCATTCTCATATAATTGAAATTAATTTTTTTTTGTATAAAATTTATATGTATGTAGCATTTTTTTTAAACATCAAATCAAAATTTAGTGTTAGTTTGCAGAAGTCCAAACTATTTTTCAAACAAGTTCATCCTCAATTCATTTTTTCCACAGTGAGAGGATCTCTCAATTTTCTGAGCGAAAATACGTTAGGGAGACGTAAACTTTGAATTTGAGGTTAATTTCCGTTCTTAACTGATATAAAGTATTATAGTAATCCTTGTAATATTGATCATTACTTCTTAATTCAATGCATTTATTTGTATGAATGACTTGAATTATTTTTACCAACATTAATTTTTACTTTTTCCTCAGGACTTTTTTTTAAATCTGAAATAGTAGAATGATAGATTATGATACATATATGTTACAATTTTGCTGTTTCAAGAAAAAAATAAATTATATCATCGAGAAATAAGTACTTTTAAATAGCAAAAATTGAATAGTTGTAAATGATTTTCATTAAAGAATGAATTTCGGATTGAACTTTGTATAGATTTTCTATAATATTGGACAATTTGCAACTGAATTTCACTATTTCTACCCTCCCTTTTATATATAATTCATATAATTAGTTTGATTTCAATAAATCTACATTATCTTTTTCCTCAAATGAAGTTAACATTTATTGATGTCACTTTTATATTCGGTCAAAATGTTTTTATCATTGATTTGTGGTAACTTACCTACATATAAATACTTCGTTATTAAAGACGGATACGAAGAAATCGATATTCACGAGCCTGGCGTTCAATCTTCTTATGAGTACCTTTGCGGCGTTGTTCCAAAATTTTTACCCGACTTTACAACATATCACGCTATCACATTGATTCACTGCTGGCATAAGAAAGAAGGAAATTACTACGCTGTTGAAGTTATGACACAGAGAATTAGATATTTAGTCACTGTTCAAGACATTGAAGGCACACATTATTTATATTCCGTAAGAATTCTAAATTGTGATGGCCCAGGAGGCGCCAAATGGTCACAACCAGAACAAGATATCATAGATCTAGTTATGGAAGAAGCCAAAGAGAAGTTTGGACAAGATTTGAAGCTAAGAAATGTTGCAGCATTTACTACAAGACTTCAAGGCACAAAATACGCTCACTTTGTCGCTGATGTTGAAACAGATTCCGAAAGATTCTTAATTAATGTCCATTTAGAGAAGCCATTTGGCGGCCAGCAATACTCAATTAAGGACATAGTGCGTGTTGAATAAATTATACATTGAAAATTACATAAAATTATATTATTTTAGTTATATACGTGTAATATCCTTAACAAACTATATCTGATTTTTTTATTATTCATAAGTTAAATGGTTTATACATATTCAATTCATAAAATCCTTCATTTTATTTGAAAACGTTTTAAATTAGAAATATATAACTCAAAAAACCTAACCATTAGCAAAAACCTAAATTGATATTTAAGGGTGCACTTACCACTTTCTGGCCGTCTCTCAATTTTTTTGACAAGCAAGCTTTATATGATAAAAAAAAATATTTTTGACTGGGAAAGAGTTATTATAATTCACTATCTAGTACCTCATATGGCTGATATACTTTTTTGTTATTAAACTAAAGATATGTTGATATTATGAGAGCATGTCAGAAAGTAGTAAGTGCATCCTTAAAATTTAAAAAGGAAAAAAGGCCACTTTTTTAGCGATAATTTCTAAAAAATCATGCCACTTTGCAAAAAACTATCTAATGGGAAATTAAGCTTAATTATTTTTTTAATTTCTAATGAAATTAATTTTCAAATATATCAGAAAAAAGAAAGAATAGTATCTTATGCAAGGATATTATATTTTTGAACCATGTGAAATAAGAAGTTCAACTGTTTCTTTGCTATTATTTTTTGTTGCAGTATGAAGAGCGGTTTTTCCATCATTATCTTTTTCATTGATATTTATACCATGTGAAATAAGAAGTTCGGCTGTTTCTTTACTATTATATATTGCTGCATAATGAAGAGCGGTTTTTCCATCATTATCTTTTTCGTTGATATTTATACCATGTGAAATAAGAAGTTCAACTGTTTCTTTACTTTTATATTGTGCTGCCAAATGAAGAGCGGTTTTTCCATAATTATCTTTTTCGTTGATATTTATACCATATGAAATAAGAAGTTCGGCTGTTTCTTTACTATTATACCATGCTGCATAATGAAGAGCGGTTTTTCCATCATTATCTTTTTCATTGATATTTATACCATGTGAAATAAGAAGTTCGGCTGTTTCTTTACTATTATATATTGCTGCATAATGAAGAGCGTTTTTTCCATCATTATCTTTTTCGTTGATATTTATACCATGTGAAATAAGAAGTTCGGCTGTTTCTTTACTATTATACCATGCTGCATAATGAAGAGCGGTTTTTACATCATTATTTTTTTCATTGATGTTTGCACCATTTGATAGGAAATATTCACAAAGGGATGGAATATTAAACATTACCGAAATATTAAAGCATTTCATAACATCATTAGTTTGATCGAAATAAACTAATAATGATTCAAGATTATCATATAGTGCACAATAAAATAAATTGATCTCAAAATTGTATTCATTCATTAAGAATATAACAAAATCAATGTTGTGTGAAATAATTGCATACTTCATGCATTCTTCATCTGGTTTTTGATATTTCAAACATTCACTCATGATATCTGGATTTCCTCCTAAAAATGATAATTTTAGACATTTTTGAGTTATTTTTGAGTCAAATTTCGTTCTTAAAAACTTGAAACAATCAACTGCTCAATGGTAACAACATAATTCAAGTAATGAATATCCTTCGAAAGAATCTGGATATAATTTGCTTTTTAGTGTTTGATCTTTATCAAAACCATTTCTTTCTGTGAATGCAATGAATCTTTCTAGGTCATTATACACAATTGCTCTGTAAATTGTATTTTCTGAATGAATACCAAGATTTTCTGAGTTAAAATTTTCAAAATCATAGGATTTGTCTAATTTAATTCCATATTCTTTGTAAAATAGGAAGTTAAAAATAGGTATAACACTCCTGACATCTTCCACATGATAATCATCAGATATGAATTTGATAAGAGATAAATATGACTTTGTATAGCGATTATTATACGGAATGATATTTAAAATTTTCCAAATAACATCCACAGAGAGATATTTCTTTGAATCAATCAATTCTGTTTTGATCATTTTGTAAATGTCTTTTAATTCTTCTTCTTTGTCCGTTTTCAGCTGATATAAAGCAATATATGAATCAATGTAGTGCTTATAGATACTTCGTAATTCGCTGTATTTATTTGGAGGAATGTCTTTGTCGATCATTAATAATTTTTTTAAAAGATCACATTTGCTATTTAACATGTATGTATCTTTTAAACTCATTAGAAGAAACAAACATTATATTATACATGCGGAAGTCAATGATCACAAAGATTTCGGAAATAATTTATGAACATTAACTAAGTTCATAGCTATTAAATGACACAATAACAATAGAGAAGTCGAAATCAATAGGAATTTCATCCAGATGATTATATTCAAACAAAATTATATAAGGGACTTCAAGGGAACCATTATCTTTGAGGTTTCAATGAACCTGACATGAATTATAATGCTGATGTTCATCAGCTGCGAGTGCGGGACAAATTTGCCAGGTGTCACTTTTTCAATAACCTTAAATTACGCTTTTCTAATTTTTAAAAAATAACCTTAAATTATATTTGAAGAAATTATGTCTATGATATATGTTTTATGCTAGAATCTTGGAGTTTTCATGCACTACACAAGAGCTCCAAGGTTCCAAGAGTGAATGCTCAATAGCAATTATAGAGATGTACCTTTTCAAAATGACTTTTACTGATTAAATTTAATCAATAGAAGACATTTTGAAAAGGTACCTCTACAATTAGATATACAAGAGATTCAAAGCTTCATTTCAGATAGATTTGAAACTTTGAAACTCTTGGTAGATTTTGAGTGAATGCTGACAATCATCTTTGAGAAGGTTTTCTTAAAGAAAACCTTCTCAAAGAGGTTTCTCAGGAGCCCCGAGGCTCCCTTTCGTAATGATTGGGAGCCTTGGGGCTCCTGAGACGAAGAATGGCTTCGCCGAATCTTTGATCAGCAGAGGCCAAATGAAAAGGCCTCTGCTGATGGATTCTCAGGAGCCCTGAGGCTCCCTTTCGTAATGATTGGGAGCCTTGGGGCTCCTGCAGCAGAGTATCGCTCCGCTCCATTAAATTTTTTAAAAAAAGTGCCGTGTGGCAAATTTGTCCTGTTCCCCATCTTTATTATTTTTTTTATTCCTTTGAAAAGTGACACTGGATAGTTTGTCCCTTTCTCATCAGCTGCGCGAAAATTTAAAAATCAAATCTCAAATTAAATCAAATCACAGTCACATCTATTGGTGTTAATGTTTTAGAAACATCTCAAATCTTAAATTCATATATATATATATATATTCCTAATTCGATCACTCTACATGCCTTAGGTATTTTTGCTTAAAATTTGCAAAGAGTCATATTTGACGAAAGATATAATATACCTTTGGAATTTGATCGAGGAGTTTTCTATAAATCACAAAAACTCCGAGAAATTTGTGTGTAAATTAAATCATTGGGACGACTACGGCTGTCCAATAGCTCTTAGACTCAGCGTTTGTGATGTTAAGCTCTAGCTGATGTTGGATAATGTTTGGAAACAGGATAATGTAATTGCATATGAGTAGTATAGCTAAATAAAATATAAAAATCTATACTACAGTATAGCTAAATTACTTGTTAGAGTTAGCATTTTAACTCCTATGCTATATTAATTCTATTTTACTAAAAATATTTTATGAGATTTGATATATTCAATTTCAATTTTGAGAGTTATTGACATCAGAAAGTGATGATATCAATTGTATTCTAAAATAAATGAGTATCCTCATCTTAATCATTGCATGTGGCAATTAGACAAAATTTTCAATCCGAAGAATTTGTAGTTAACACTAGATCGGCTAATATTATTAACGCTTTTATTTAAGCTTTTAGAATTCAACAAAATAATGAATAATTAGTTGATGTCCACTATGATTTAGGCATAGGTCATTTAAATTTTTGACATCTGTAAACAAAAGTGTCGGTTTTTTTAAAATGTCAAGTAAAGCAAAGCAAGAGATTTTGGCAGAAACCAAGATAATCCCCGAGTTGAGCAAATTCTGCATAGCTGAAAATGCTATTTGGAACATTAACAGCGAGAATATGGAAGAAACTATTTCAAAAATCAAAGAACTTATATCAAGTAAAGACGTTACGCTCAAGTTTGTTGAGCTTTTAATTGAAAAAACAAAGAAATTCAGAATTAGACAGAATTCAGTTCTACTCCATCTCATAACGGTGCTCCATAATATTTATCCAGAATACTCTCAATTCGAATCGATGATTAAGATGTGGGTACCGCTCTCAGACATCGAGCAATCATCTCCTCTTGAATATCATATCATAATGGACAATGTTGAAGAATTTAAGAAATTTATCGAAGGAAAGGCAACAAAACAAACCAAAAAGAAAAACTATCTCGAACAGGCATGTAAATACGGCTCTGTTGATTGTTTCAAGTACTTAGTTTCAAACGGAGCCGTATTATCAGACGACGCTCCAAAACTCGCAGCAACAGGCGGAAATATTACCATATTACAGTTGATTGAAGGCCTAGGAAGAAATATTGTAGGAATTCATCAACAGGCGATCAAAGCTCACCACAATGATGTAGTTGAATGGCTTATGGACAAGTATGACTTTATCAAGGAGCTAAATTCAGCAGAGATATTACAGACAACAAATGTCACGCTCTTTAATTACTGTATGGCCAATAATATTGACGTCAATAACACCGATCTTCTTTTCTTCCCTTGCCAGATTGGTTCTTTACCATTATTGAAGTATTTCGTTGAGAAACTAAATATTACAGATAGCAGTGGTGCCAAGCAGAGCCCGCTTATTGCAGCAATCCTAAATGATTCTGCAGAATTAATTGAATACTTGGCATCCCATGCTTTCGAATTGAATCAAACCGTTCAATTTGAGAACCACAAAATTTCCTTACTATCTTTTGCGTTAAAACATCAGAAAATAGAAGCAGCAAACGCATTAGCTGACCATGGAGTCCAAACTTCGTGGGATGAGCTCAATAAATCACTTGAATCTAACCAATTATCATTGACAGCCAAGATTATGAGTAATGGCGCATTGAATAACCCATGCGAATGCGAATCACCGTTGATGGGCGCAACAGAAAAAGGAAATTTAGATGTAATGAAGATATTCTACGGCCAAGGACAAGATGTTAACTATGTATTCAAGGGAAAGAGTGCACTATCAATCGCTGCAACCAAAGACGACCAAAAATTGATGGCATTTCTCATTGAAAAAGGAGCAAACGTCAATTTGCAAACAGACCAAAACCCTCTTTTCCTTGCTATTGAAAGTGGTAAGGAAGATAATGTTAAGTTCTTACTGGATCACGGTGCAGATCCGAACATGCACTGCATTATTAACAAAAAAGATTATTCTCCATACGAATACGCAATGATTAAGAGGAAGCTAGAGATAGCCCAACTCTTTGAGACACCAAAAGAACATGAAGCAATTGATCAAATTTTAGAAATCCAAAATCCCGATGAACCTCAACAGGTTCCTCCACCGCCAGCTGAAGTTGACGAACCAAAGCTCCAATTAGTAAAGAAGAGTAAGAAGAAATCAAGAATTGCCAAATTTAATATTCCTCAGAACGAATTAGAAGAAGTAAAAGCCAAAATACAGCATACATCCGACCAAAGACCATCAAATTGGAGTGAGCTTCTCCAAAAGATCAGAATGGTCCAGCAACAAGAGCAAGTTCAGCAACAACAGCAGAAAATGCAGCAAGAATATCAGAAGAGGATTCAGAGACAAAAGGCGGCAATCCAAGCTGAAGAAGCTGCAAAAAGAGAGCAGCAGGCTCAAAATGAAAAAGCTCAGCAGGAGAATCAAAACGAAAACAAGTTTGTTGCAGGAAAAACATTAGACTGTCAACTTGTTTGTCCCAACGAGATTGTTGACAGACATTACGTTGAGTATTTGGTCAAGAAAGGAATCTTGAAGGGTGTTGACATGGAAATATTAACAATGTAAAAATTTTTAAATGATTTTAATTAATTAGTAATTGTTACTTTGATTTTCCCCTCATTATTTTTTATTTTTTTAAAAAAAGTTACCGAGATATCTGTCAATCAGGGATAACATTAACTTATTTTCTACTCTTTCAAGTGTTTTTGAAAAGAATAAGGGGCGGAGGTTTTTGTGATATGGAAAAATGTTCGTTGCTCAATTATCTCACTATTGGATGGACTTTTATCGAGCGAAATTTTGGCTGTAAAGACAATTCTGATATTGGTAACATGGTGATAAGAACAAATAGTCAGTTTGCATGGTTTATGATGAGATAATTTCGATTTAAAAAAAACATAAAAATTGATTTTAATGAGCGATTATATTTGAATATGCTCTCCTAATTTGAAGGAAATGGTTAAATCATGAATTGATCATGAATAATTTTTTTTCAAAATAACAATTATAATTTCATATTCATTATAAGTTGAAAATATATCATAAAGACTTTATGAATGATAAATTCCTAAAAAACAAGTTAGTTTGTTTCTGAAAATAATAATAATAAAAACCAATTTAGACCCAATAATTTTTGGCGGGATAATTGAGATGTTTAACAAAAACTGAAAGGTGTCATTATTATCTATGACCAACAAGCAACTGACCTAGTCTGGATTACAATATTCGGTTCATCAAACCGCCAATTTGATGAATCAAGCCAAATTGTAACAAACCAGTTGTTGATTGCATGGTATTATTCATCGAACTGCCAATTTGATGAATTACATTTCTTAGTCATCAAAATAGTGGTCATGTTACTATTCGTTAGGTTAAATTACTTTTAATGCCCATTAGTTAGTATGGCTAAGTCGTGTACTGAGGCACTGCGTTCCACCTTACCCAACTTAACCTTAAATATTTACAAAACCATCTGACACATAAACGACTTCACTAACGACTTCACTAACGACTTCACTAACGAATTGACTACCATCCTCACTAAATAAAAATAACCTTATTTTTATTTTTTTTAAATTTTTATTTCATTACAAAGACATGTCCGACTACATTTACTATGACTCTTTCCCAGAACGTTTCCGTGAACTATTCAAAACTCAAGTAAAACTGAGAAACATGCATTTTAACAAAGACAGACCCATTGACGATGAAAGAAACCCTGAATATATTACAATCCCATATGACGCAAAATTCATTGCATACATTCCTTATGGTCGCAGAGGAACGAAAACTATTTCAACAAAGAACAAAAATTATTTCTGGAGCAATGAAGAAAATAGCCTTATCTACATAAATGCATACTTAAATAAAGCTACATATTGTACAAAAGAAGGTTGGACTGGATTTGAGCTCTACATATACGACGACGATGGAAACAGACGCTGTGTATACCCATACGATAATATGTACCATTGTTTTCATCAAGCATTAAACGAATACATAGTCAGTAAGGGTCTCATTCCTGCTGAGTAGAAATGTTATATTTTTGACCCATTACATCCAAAATAAAATAAAAATAAACTTAAAAATAAACGTTGTCAGAGGTGAAAAAATAAATTTAGGGTAGAAGGGTAGATCTAACCTCATTTCTACCCTCATTTCTAACCTTGTTGAATTCATTGCTTTATAACTCTCTTCCTTTCTCCAACTCTTCTAACTTCTTCCTAAGTTCAGCAATGTTGTCCTCATGAAGTTTAATCTTTCTCAAAATTCCTTCTTTATCTAATGGTTGCTTTATCTTTCTAAACTGAACTCTACCATCCTTCATAGTATGAACGTAAAAACCTTCTGGAACCGCTCCTGATTTAATGTATTCTACCAAAAACTTTTGTTTCATTGCTTCAGTGACTTTAGTCGTCATTTCAATCAAATAAAAATTTTAATATTAAATAAAAATAAGGTTATTTTTTCAGTAAGGAAACGCAGGAGTTTTACGATTTATTTGAGGAGTAGGTTCTGGTTTAAATGTTGGAGTCGGTTTTGGAGTTGACTTTTGAACAGGAGTTTGTACTTCCATAGGTTCAGGAGTCATTGAAGGTGTTGTTTGTGAAGGCGTTGGTTTTGGCGATGGTGTCGGAGTTTGTTCAAATTCAGCTACTTCAGTATTATTTATAACATTTGCTTTGTTTCTTTTCAACATCATTACTGCTCCTGCTGTAGCTAGCAAACCTAGTGGGAGACCATATTTTATATAAGGACTTGACCAAATGCTATTTTTGACAGGAGCTGGTGGAACACCTAACCTTGGTGAGACTGCTCTTTGCCATTGTGCAGCTCGTAAGAAATATTCAATAGGTGCTCCATAATCGTTTGGTAAAGTTTGTTTCATAGATGGTGAAGGTTCACGAGAGCTTGATGAAGAACTCATTTATAAGCTTTAAAAATAAACGTTCATCCTTTATTCCTCACTGTCGTCCGTAGCTAAGTTATAGTCATCTAATCTTATTATTGGGATTCCATTAGCACGCACCTGAATGGCAAAGCAACAATCCCTCATAAATCCAATAAGTGGCTTTGGTACATTTTCAGTTGCTAGTTCAATAGGTCCTTTAACAGACAATTTGTATGTTATTGGAGCAGTAGATGTTTGACCTTGCTGGAAGCAAAAGTCCACTTCTGTTGGAAAACCACATAAGAAATGTGTGTTGTCATAGCTATCCCATTTATGTTCCACACTACCATCATCCACCAATGACCTCATAACATCTTCATTAAATCCAATCATATCATTGTTTGTATTGCAAGCGTTCGCAACCATTTCATAAAATACAGGTCCATATGATTTTTCAGGTTCTGCAGGCATATTTCCATAAGCTCCCATGGAAAGCTGAAGATATTTAAACTTAGGGTTCTCAAAATTAACATAATAGTTGTCTTTCTTTCTAAATAGTGCCCAAATACTTTTAACATTAATAGGCGTATAAGCTGCTGTAAATGTTGCACTTGAACTATCTGTATTCTTTGAGAATGAACCGTCCATAGGAATCCAATCCATAACTTTAACAGGAAAACATAAAGCCTCGTTTGTATAATGTTCTACAAGTTCTGTATAAATGTTAGGGTCTAAAGAGAATGACTTTGGATGAATGAAACATTCATTAAAATCCATCTTTGTTCGAAATAGTTGCTGGGTTACAGTTGTAATAGTAACTGTTCCACTAGCTTCTACTGCCTTCGTTATCATAGTGAATGGTTCATTCCATGGAACAAATTTATTTGTCGGTGGATTTGAATCTGAAGCAAATGCAACTTTAAGAGTTGGATTGAAAGCAATGATATCATTTACAGATATAGATGTGCATTGTAAGGCGTCGCTACTGAACTTTACTTTAAGCTGAATGTTTCCTGCAAAAGCTGGAATAAATCGAATAGCTTCTAATGGAAGGAATCTTCTAACAGGAATTCTTAAACGAAGCTTAAAATCAAATGATTTTCCTGCTGTAATTGGACCACTAACAATTTGTCCTGTTCTGCATGTTCCCGAATGACTCCATACATCTTCATGTCGAGTCTTTGAGAAAACATCTACTTTCTTTATTTGTTCGGTAGTTTGTGAGTTTGAAGTTATATATGCTTCTTCTCTTGCGTTGTCTTGAGAATATACGATACGACCATTTGCAAGGATTTGATATCCAGCAACTGCATAGAAAGCGTCATCGAAACCAATCCAAAATCCTGGTGGGTTTGTTTTATTGGAACCTGAACCAATTTCTTTATCTGCAATAAATTGACCTTCCATTTTATACGTAATGAATGTATTGTAAAGGTCCAACATATTTTCACCAGGAGGTGAGAGATTGAATGTTACCCATGTGTTATCTTTAGCAGTTCCAGGTTGTGATGGAATCTTTGCGTCAGAATATTTTCTATTAGTGTCACCAATTTGAACTGCATTGTCTATGATATCGAAATATGAGCGAATCTGATGAATATGCTCTGCTGGAGTAAATTCGTTTAACTGTTCGTTCTGCATGTATTTACTTCGGATAAAAATATCTATTTACTTCATTATTCTCACTCTTCTTCTTGGCATTCGTGGTGGAAGTTGTTTCTTGACATTTTCAATGAACTGTACATTCTCTTTTGTCTCAACTTCTTTCACTGGTGGGTCAGGGTTCTTTGACTCGGTTTGTTTTTCAATGAAATTCACGAACTTTGCAATAAGCTCTTGGTTCGTTATTGAAAGTACATCTGGCTTCTTTTCTTCTGGTTCTATTGGTGGCTCAGTTTGAACAGAAGGTTTTATATGGGCTTCGTGGACTTCACCCTTGCCATGCACCTTAATGTTGTCGCTCTCTGCATTCGCTAATGGTACCTTTCTTTTTCTTACGTATATTTTACCATCTTTACTCTGACTTACGTAATAGAAAGGATGTTGTATTCCTCTTGCGTCATTTAATATAATAGACTCTCGTTCTGATTTTGACAAGCTCATTTTACATCGGTTAAAGTTTTAATTTAGTTTTTTATCTGCAATCAAATGACTCAGACAAGCCCTACGGACAAGACCCAAGGTGTCATAGATGTTGAAGCATTGAAGAAAGAAATTCGTGAGCAAATTTTATCCGAACTGAAGGAACAAAAACCAGAACAAAAGCCAGAGAGACCAAAGAGAAAACTTAGTGAAAAACAACTAGCTGCATTAGCTGCTGGAAGACAAAAGAACCCACGTTTGCTGGCAAAGAAAGCTAGAGAAGAAGCTGAAGCAAAAGCTAAAGAAGCTGAAGCAAAAGCTAAAGAAGCTGAAGCAAAGAAAGAGTAAATGGTTTATTTTTATCCGAATTAAATGTATAGACAAATACCTTTAACTGTTGCGTTCAGTAGTGAAAACCCTGACGTCAAAATAAAGGGGAACAGAGTAACGTTTAAGTTTCCAACAGACTGGATTGTGAACATAAATGAAGAGAAGTACATTGGCATAACATCTATGTATATAACACGTGCTTTCAGAAAGGTTGACTTTATACTTCAAGTCGAGATAGAAAATGACGAACAGTCTTTAAGCG